AACCAATGGAATAGTAACTAAGTTCTTTCTATATAAAAAGATTTTGAACACTGTGAACAACTGTATTTTGCCCTGAGAAAAAATAAAACAAATAAACATACTTTATTTTTAAAATATCTAGGTTTATCTCAAAAACACAGAAAGGATAACATTAAATCAATGATCATACTGACTATTTCTTTTATAAACCTTTCTATACCCCTAAAATAAAGAGCTATTCAAAAGAGAATTGAATAGCAATAGTTTAATGGAGTTGGGATTGAGAAAACAAATTTTTGAAATATAATCTAATTTAAATTTTAATCCCAAATAATAGCTGTGTAAGTCAAAAAAAGGGGAAAGCATTCTTATTTCCTGATGGCAAAACAAACTAACAAAACAATAATAGTTAGCCCTGAATGAATCTTTACTACATGTTCATTCCATATAAAACTCTACCCTATCATCTGACTCCACCTTCTTAACACCACCATAAAAGAGGTTCTGTATTGTTTATATTTTTGAAGAGGAGACTGACTCATAGATATTAGGTAATTTACCTAAAGTGACCCAATGACAGAGGGACAATTTAAACTGAAAGAATCACTAACTTCAGAGTCTTGATATTAATTAACTCCTCTGTGAAACTGTTCCTCAGGATTGGAAAAAAAAGAAAAGAATTGATCAAACATTAAAGAATGATAAGGATGGGCCTCCCCGGTGGTGCAGTGGTTGAACGCTGGGTTGCGAAGCTGCCTGCAGCCTCTGCAGCACCGGTTCGATCCCCGGCTGCTCCCCAGCCACTGGAGGAGGGTCCCACATGGCGCGCAGACCTCTCCTACCGCCCGCTGCTTCCCTCAGCAGTGTACTTTGGTCCCTCTGCCTGATCTGCTCCCCGCTCTGGCTCTGGTGAATTCTCTCACCTTCCCGTGCTTCTGACTGTACCCAGTGCTTGTATAAATAAATAAATTAATTAATTAAAAAAAAAAAGAATGATAAGGATGATCTGATCAGGAGATATACTGGAAAAAATGTCCAATTAGGACAACAGTAAGAATGACTATTTTTCTTTAAGCTTTCAAACCAAAGGGTCAAAAACTATACATATATATACTCTGAAGACAAAAGAAGCCTCATCTCCTCTCTCCTGTCACAAATGGTAACACCAGATTAGAAGGGCCATTCTGAGAACCTGCAACTTTCTACTTTCTACAGATACCCAGCTCCTTGTTTTCATTTGTGAATGTGGTTTTGGTTATTAACATATTAATTTTATATTAATTCTATGATAAAGTCTGCATATCAAAAGTAACAAAAGTTTTTAAGTTATATTGGTCCACTTTTCCCCTCAGATTCTCAGAAATAAAAACCTTTCTCCAAAAATTTGGGATATACCTAAATATATTGATAGTTTTATTTGAGCCCTGCCACAATTGATTATCCTGAACAAACTTCTTAAAGCTTCCTCGAAGGAACCGAAGAAAAAAATACACTTTTTCCAACCCCTATCACAGCTTAGACTCTGTCATACCTTGCCCAAATAATTATTATACTAATGCATTAACAAGTGAAACATCATTCACCCCAAATCTGCTTCAAAAAAAGAAAAAAAAAAAACAAACAATGTTTAATTGACCACATGAGAATACACTGAAAAGGAATCCGCAGATTTCTACATTTATGGATACTTCTACATTGTGGATACACAGCGCCCTCTGCTGCACAAAATGAGGAAATGTCAACTAAGCTAAAAGTCCACAACCAAATGAAAGCAAGGGCAAAAAATTTCTGGTAAACTATAATTTACATTTGTGTATATTATACAAGTGTTTAGTTTTGAAATTCTCTATTTTAATTGGCACATTTTCCTCCAAACACTGCTAAACTTCTCTGGCTGAACCTTTTCTGTCTCAACCATATTTACAGATGGAACAGCATATATTGGGGCCAAGTCACAAAAGACCCCAGTGAAATAAAATCTCAGTGTTTCCTTCTTCATACTATGAAATAAAACAAAAATGAAGTCAATGGAATAATGACCAAACTTCCAATCCACATTCACACAAAGGAGAGTCAAAGACTAAAACTGTCCAACTTGGCAAATGAGAAGACAAAACATTTTACTTTGAAGAATGAGAAAAACATTACTTTCCATCAAGAAAGTTCTATCAGGGTCCTCCCTGGTGGTGCAGGGGTTAAAGTCTGAGCTCTATCAAAATACTGCCAGCCACTATGGCATGGGTTCGATCCCCAGCCAGGGAGCTAACCCACATGGTGCAGCAGACCTCTTCTGTCTCACCCACTGCTCCCTCAGAATTGCAGTAGATCTGCCTGTTCTGTTCCCCACTCTTGTCTCTGGGGAACCCTCTCACCCCCTGCACCTCTGACCTAGGCCCCAGTTCTTGTATGCATAAATAAATAAAATAAATCTTTAAAAAGCAAGCAAACAAACAAAAAGTTCTATCAAACCTGAGAGGTAGGAAAGCATCAAAAGTTCTAAATTTTTAATATGTTATAGTCTATGTTGAAGGCATTTGAACCCAAAATGTACATACTATGGAAAAAGTTTCATATTAGAGGCATTTTTTTAAAGATTTATTTATTTATGCATGTAAGAGCTAGGGTACAGGCCAGAGGTGTGAGGGTGAGAGGATTCACCAGAGACAGAGCGGGGAACAAAACAGGCAGACGGACTGAAATAGTCTGCTGAGGGGAGTTGTGGGTGAGTCAGGAGAGGTTGCTGCACCATGTGGGTAGCTCCCTAGCCGGGATCGAACTCATTCTGCAGTGGCTATGGATAACTTCATAGGTTGTGTCTTAACCCCTTGCACCACCAGGGAGGCCCTATTAGAGGGCCTATTTCACTTTAAATACATAATAGTTATCTAAACTATACAAAGTCTATTTATGACATACAATTAATGTAACTTGAAAACTTTTTAAATATGGACTGTTAGTAAAAGATAACTAAAGGAAAAAAATTAACAAATCATTAAAAATTTTTAGAAATTGAAGAATGAATTATACTTCCATTTTCTTGACATAACCAGTCTTTCCGTCTAGAATCTAATTTTATTTAACTAAACTGAAAGCATTTATCCTAATAAGAAGACTCAAAAAGTTAATGGATGAAATTATTAAAGGGCAATTACAAAAAAATAACACAAAAGAAATGTTTTAAAAGAAAGAAAATGTACCTTTTAATTAGCATTTTTAAGGTAAGTTTTTATTTTTTAAAGGCAAATTTGGAGCACCCTCTAGTGGAAAACTTGTAATAAGAAGCTTAAAGCTTCTAATTCTGAAATTTTATAATTCAATTTCCATCACACAACAGTTTGACCTGCATGAAAACGTAGTGAACAGACTCCTTTTTCCCAAACATTACTCTTAAAAAACATAAACACACACACACACTCCTACAAAAGAAGAGTTTTCAAAGCTCAACAAAGGAGGTTTGACTGATCAACTTCTAAAAGAAGAAATAAGTTCTATGAGTTCTATGAATATAACATAGATATAATACTGTGACATACATTAAAGAATTTCATTGTGGTTATAAAAGGATTAAAATTGTAAACAACAGATGACTTTTCTAAATAACCTGAAAAAAGGAAATTCAGTTTATGTGAATTAATAAGGTTAGTATATTAATACTCACATTGCACTCAATGTATTATGTTAAATTCTGGGTATCTTATTTTGGAGGAATACTAACAAAACAAAATGTCCTTAACTGAGAGACCGTTTTACAGAGTAATTTAAAATCCATCAGAATCTCTGTAAGTCTGAAAAACTTACACTGTTCAACCCAAAAAAGGTTATACAGAAGAGCAGAAATATTTATTCATATCTTCTTTAAACACTGATTTATCAAACACTTTAGCTAAGAGTGTTTAAGGCTCTGGAAGCATGATGGCAAACTGGATGGACAAGACCCCTGCTCTAATGGAATCTGTATCTTGAACTGGGAGATGGTAATGAGAAGTCACCAAGCTCCACAAAGAGTCAGGATTTCTGCCTGTTTTGTTTATTCTAGTTTCCCCTGCACTTATGAAAATAAGTGTTATGCTCAATAATACTTGCTGAATTACATATAAAAGATAAAAGTTCAGCAAGTGAGTACTGGTATAAGGAAAACAAAATAATTAAAAGTAGGGAGCAATGGAACAGGGTAGATATATGTTACTTCAAATCAGAAAGTTAGAATTGGCTTCTCACTGGAGATGCATTAGAACTTAAGACATAGTAACTAAAGTCACAACAGCAAAGACCTGGGATGAGCTTTCCAAGAAGAGGAAACAAGGGCACTTGCCTGAGGCAAAAGTGGTCTGACATTCACAGCTTTGGGGTGGTCAGCAGAGGTAAGCCAAGACAGCCAATAGCAAAGACTTCAGATTTTATTCAAACAGTATGGACAAAAATTATTATTAGCTTCATATTGGGTCAATGCAGTAAACATGAAGCAAGAGAGTAATTTCATAATCTATTTTGGAGGGGGGAGTGAGAATTAAAACCTGTGCTAAGTCTTGGACTTGAACAACTTGATAGATAAATATGTTTCTGCTTTCCATGATGAGAAAAAGAGGTGAGAAGCAAGTTAAGTAGGTAGCAGAGGAAAAGAACAACCTTTACAATTTGCTATATAATTAGGACTTCAAATAAGAGGTTAATATTTCAGTTTGAAGTTCAAGAATTATCAGGAAGAAGGGGCATCAGAGGTTACTCCAAAGGGAAAAGCAAAGACTAACAGGTAGCAGTCAAAGTTAGCTTAGTTTGAAAAGAGAAAGTAGAGCTTGTCTACACAATGGGCTTTCCATCAAAGGCCAAGACGCAAGAGCTAGATGGCCATCTGGAAAAGGTGAGGAGTTTCCCCTAGAAATACTTCAAATGTACCATTTAAAGGAACATTTAAGTTTATGATTTAATTTCACTTTATGCAACTTACTTTATTATTATTAAATAGATTCCAGAATAAAAATCACTGACATATAAAATGTATTTCTGCTAGTAGCTACTGTTACCTGTTTTTGTGAGCAAAAGGTTATCCAGGTGTCTGTCTCCAACACCAAGTATATATGTAATCACACAATATCCAGCTGCAATGACAGTTAAAAAAAAAAAAATGAGAAACACATGGACACACCACGGATATAAAAGAAGCTTATGCAACTTTAATGTTAATTTGCTTACTATTTTTGATCTCCCACCCAAATCCTCAAATTAGTAATTTCTAGATACTAAAGAGCATATCATCTGAAACTCAAAAGAAATTACCATTTGTTAGAAAAGTCACTTGTAGGGCCTCCCTTGTGGCATAGTGGGTAAGTCTCAGTGCTATCACCACTATGGCCTGAGTTCATTCCCATGCCAGGGAGCGAACCCATACATGGTGCAGCAGACTTCTCTTGTCTAGCTCACTGCTCCCCTCAGCAGTTTATTTCAGTAGCTCTGCCTGTTCTGCTTCCCACTCTGTCTCTGTTGAATCCTCTCACCCCGTACCCCAGGTCTCTGGCCTACAACCCAGTACTTGTACGAGAAAAAAAAAAAACACACACACACAAAGTCACTTGTGTCAGTTTGAAGAAAGTTTTAGGAACCTTAATTATAATATGTCAACCACTTCTCATTTCTAATTGGACACGTTTAAAAAAGACAGTGAAAAAGAAGTGTCTACAGAAATAAACATAATGTAGTGACTCATTCCACAACCGTGTTATCTACAAGAGAAGAAAATAATTGAAAGGTTTAAAAAAAAATCTTTAGAAAAACAACTTTGAAGTGCCAGCAGCAGATAGAAAAACAAATGAATTCAGCTGAGTGGTAAAGACATGTATGAAGTTCACACCATAATCTTCTAAAGTATTAAGGAAAATTGCAGAGACAGAGTCATTGGCTTTGCTTTACTCTCTCTTATCTTTCTCTTCAAAAATGTCTGGAAAGCTGGCATGTGTTGAAAATGCTCAAAATTAGGCAAATAAAACCTTTCTGAAGTTTTTTTTCCCCGTTTCTCCCATTAGAACACCTGACAACAAATACATCTTGCAAATAAATACGAATATTTATATGAATATTTATATAGACCAGTACTTACAAAAACATGTTTATTTGAACCAGTAAGAAGGAAAAAAAGACTACGCCATCTATAACCATATTAATCCAAATTCAGTAAACATCACAGTTCATGTGACTCAGATTCTGAAGGCCATTTCAAAAGTCCAAAAGTGACTTAAACAGTGATATCACCACTCATTTTTAATTATTAATTCATAATAATCACAGTTATAATTTTGGAAAGGCTAGGACATCATCATGTATCAGTGCACTTAGGCTGCTGTATGATACAAGTTACTGTTCATGTTAATTATAAATCATAATTAGTTTATCACTATATACTTTGCTTCAAGTTGTTCAGCTATTTCTAAAGAGTCATGATTCATGCATACAGAAACAGTATTTTTGACCTAAAATGCTTATGCAACTAGACATGCATTTAATTATGCCTGTCACTACATATAAAGCAAGATGCTTTTATAAATTACTCTCCATTATCAAATTTGCTTTTACAGTGATATTTCATTGTTATTATTGGATTATTTTTAATGGAAATGGGAAATGCATGAGCTATGAGCCCTTTATCCTCTTGTAGTAGGTTAAAGTCATAAATAAGCTTGATGGTGATTTTGATAAATGGTCTGAAGTCACTGTATAGATAAAGATATACAGAGACATACAAAGGTGGAGGTGAGAATTTAGGATGTCTCAATAATTCAGTGTGTCAGTAGTTGGAGGGCACTTTAGACAAAGAATATGACTTGAAAAGTACATCTTGAGACAAGGGTGAATGATTTTGAGAAATCTTGGGGAGAGAAAGAATAGAAAAATTCCAGATGGCCCTGAACAGATTTTAAAGGAATGTTTTTTTGAAACTGAACGTATTATTTTACTACAGTGGAGGCACTATACTAGTCTAAGAGAATCTTGTCAAAAGGATGTTGTTCATTAGCATTGTGACTCCATAGAGATGTACAACATCTTGAAATTGGTGTTATAAAATTCTGATATCAAGTAAAATAAAGAGAGATACAGACAACTAAATGACACTATTTATCTTTACTTTGTAAAGACAAGAATGTGAGAGAGAATAATCAGTATTCTCACACTTACTTGCATGGTATTAACTGGACTGACACCAGTATGTGGAAAAAAAAATAACCATAACTATCACTCTTTCTTCTTACACTTTGTCCTTAGCCTTAAACATTACTTTCTGAAATGAAAATTATAAATACATCTATATGATAATGCCCAGCAATCAGATTCCGGTTCAAAGGAGAGACTTATTCAGCAATTAATTCTTTTTTTTTAAATTAAAGATTTATTTATTTATTTATTCATTTATACAAGCACTGGGTACAGTCAGAAGTGCGGAAGGGTGAGAGAATTCACCAGAGCCAGAGGGTAGAGCGGAGCAGGCAGGTTTACTGAAATACACTGCTGAGGGGAGCAGCGGGCAGCAGGAGAGGTCTGCACGCCATATGGGACCCTCGCCGGTGGCCGAGGATTGAACTGGAGCTGCAGAGGCTGCGGGCAGCTTCGCAGCCCAGCGCTCAACCGCTGCGCCACCAGGGGAGGCCCTAAGCAATTAATTCTTTAATGAAAATTCAAATAACGGCTTTCATCCTCCAACATTACCTGGAATGCAAGCAAACTCAATGAAATATAAAAGATTAGTTAATATAGCAACTAATTATCAGTTATCAGGAAACAAATAAATGTGTAATGTTGGGGAAAAAAGAGGACATTATATAAAAGGCACATGCTATGACATTTAGTATGTATCTATAATACACCATTTCAGTAATTTTACTAAGTGAGCAGCATTTTCAAAGTTTAATCAAGATTTATTATGTATATGCATATAATTCAAATAGAAAAAGTAACTCCTTTTTAAACAGATTATGATATAAAAACTTTACTGTAGCTATCTCAAAATTAAAATTAAATTTTTTAATAAATTTTTTATTGAAGGTGGAAATTGTGTCACCTCCCATCTGGATCGAGGCAGGTGCTGTGAGTGATTGTGGTAGAAGTGACAGTCTACTAGCTTCCCAACACTGGCCTTCAGAAACCAACAATTTCTGCTTCCTTATCTCTTAGAATACCCTGTGGCAACTCAATTCTGAGAAGCCCAAGTCACAGAAAAGCCATGTATAGTTGACTTGATTGACAAGTTCTGCTGAAAGATAGTATAAATTGCCAATTACATAAATAATCTATAATCTCAGATGTTCAACTTGGTTGAGTCTTCAGCTGATATTCAATTTTTCAGGTCATAGAAAATACAGACTTGAAGGTCTAAGTAAAACAGGAAAGAAAAGGGTCGGGGAAGGAAGGATGGAAGAAAGGAGGAGAAAGGATAGGGAAAAGACAGAATGGGAAAGGAAGCAGGAGTGAGAGACAGGAAGCATTTTTCTTGAATGTTCCAGTGTTTTTTGGTCTTTAAATATACTGTATGCAATCACTTTTATGAGTAAACATAGTTACATATAACACATTTATTCTCCTTAAATAAATATGACTTAAACTATATAGGACTCTAAGACAGGTATTTTGTTTCACTGTCTTTAAAGTTTCTAGAAATACTGTTTTCTGTATACTCCTTGGTCAAAAATGTAACATCAAGTACAAATTTGGAATTATATGCCATATATCATTTAGGGCTCAATTATACTGTTGAATCCTTTAATAACCCCCCTTTTTTTAAGGTTTTATTTATTTATTTATACAAGCACTGGGTACAGTCAAAAGCAAGGGAGGATGAGAGAATTCCCCAGAGCCAGAGTGGGGGCGGGGTGGACAGAACAGGCAGACTGATGAAGTACACTGCTGAGGGGAGCAGCAGGCGCGGCAGGAGAGGTCTGCACGCCATGTGGGACCCTCGCCAGCAGTCGGGGATAGAACCAGCACTGCAAAGGCTGTGGGCAGCTTCACAGCCCAGTGCTCAACCACTGCGCCACCGGGGAGGCCTTAATAACCTTTTCTTTAACCTAGTTATGAAAATATATCTCTCAAGAAAGTAAAAAATAAAAATTATCTACAATATAAACTTAATGGAATGAGGACAGGAATAAATGGCTGAAACATATGAAGTAATCTCAATGATATGCTACTACTTACCTATCTCTAGGAACTAAGTACTAATCGTAACACAGCATTGTTATCACAGCAGAGTTATCTAAAACATAATTACTGCTGCCTTAGACTTTTCTCACAGTCTACTTAATTATAGTTACTCAAAAATACAAAGAAAACCTAGTAGGGAGAAGTTAACAGCTTCCAGTCAGAGATAACTTATAATTACAAAATATTAAGTGGCTGTAAAGATATATCCATTAAAGAATAAATAGTCTTAGAACTTCTATTTTGTCAAACCTTTATTAACTTCTTTTGTCAATATTTTCTATCTGTTAAACACCCTATGTGATACATGAGGTGGGGCCTTTAGGAGTGCTTAGATCATGAGCAAGGCTGCCCCTTGAATGGGACTAGTGTTCACAGAGCTCCCTAATCCCTTTGATGATGATTTGACCCAAAGAGGGTCCTTACCTAGACTGTGCTGGCAGCATCCTGATTTCTGCCAGCCTCAGGAACAGTGAGTACCAAATTCCTGGTATTTTTGTCAGAGCAATTCCAACTGACTAACACAAAACCTTAACATAAGTATGAGTATGGCAGTATCAGGACAGTCTGCTTGCCTTTATTTACAACACATCAATGCAAATTAGCAGCTTGAAAAACTTACCACAGCTTTTAACATAAGTATCCATAACCTCAGCACTGATTCCATTTGGCCCATTTTCACTTGGTGCATATTTTCTAAAGAAATTCTGAAAAGATATTTACATGTTAATAAATTTAAATATAATGCAATCTTTTAGGTACCTTGACATTGTAAATAATGACCAACAAGTATCTGATCTAAACCTATTTAGTGATTATAAAACATGGACTTGGGCCTCCCCGGTGGCACAGTGGGTTGAGTGCCACATTGTGAAGCAGTCCACAGCCTCTGCAGCGCTGGTGCGATTCCCGTCTGGCCAGGGAGAAACCCACATGGCACAACAGACTTCTCCTGCCTCGTCCACTGCTCCCCTCAGTCCATCCTCCTATCCTGCTCCCTGCTCTGTCCCTGGTGAATTCTCTCACCCTCCCATGCCTCTGACCTATACCTGTACCACAGTTCTTATATAAATAAATAATCTTAAAAAAAAATAAAATAAAATATGGACTTTAAGGAAGCACAATTCACAGGAATCAGTCTTATTACTGCTTATAGACTCTTAAGAATATCTCTCTCTATATATATACATGTTACTACTTCTATACAGTAAGAGAAAACATTAAATTTACTGCTATATCTCTTAATTTATCACTTTGTTTCATTTTCTCCTAAAAGTGAACATGAGTGAAATACTGTTAACATGCTCAATAAAACTACATCCAAATCTTCAAAATAATAATATAACTACTAAGAATTCTCATAATTCAGAGGAAACTGGTGGATAAATATGAGAGAGATGCTGACTGAACAAAAAATTTACAAGGTCACAATAAATGCACTAGAGAGTCCAAAGAATCTGGGAACAATGGAAAAAGATGGTGTAATTTTATTTTTTTCAGATTGCCAACTGGACTTATTTCCTTACATTTAGATGTTAAACATATACATAGAGAGCGTTATCATTTGAATATACAACTAATATACTTAAACCAAGTTTATCCTGTGCTTTTAGCTATTTTGTACACCCTGGATATTGGGATCTATATCTATAATATATATAGAACTCCTACAAATCAATAATAATTAAAAAAAAAAAAGACAAACAACCCAATAGGAAAATAAACAGGCACTTCACATAAAAAATAAATGGCCAATGCATATGTTTTTTTTTTTTAATTTCTAGTTAAGCTTTTATTTTTATTTTTTTTTTAATAATAAATTTTATTTTTATATTCCCCATACAATTGCAGCCCCCCCATTCTGACCCCAATCCCTCCCCTCCCACCCCCCAATGCATATGTTTTTTTAAATGCTCGACCTTATTGAAAATCAGGGAACTACAAACCAAAACCACAATAAAATAACAAAATTCAGAAGTTTGCCAATGCCAGGGTTGGGCAAAGATGTGTAGCAATGTGAAGCACAGGAGATGCAACTATTCTGGAAAATAATTTTTAATTATCTACTACAGCTGAAGGTGAGAATAACCTATAATTTCAACTAAACTCTTTCTTAAGATTCATTCATTCATTCATTTATGAATTATTTATTTTTTATTTATGCAAGCACTGGGTACAGTCAGAAGCACGGGAGGGTGAGAGAATTCACCAGAGCCAGAGCGGGGAACAGAACAGACAGACTGACAAAATACACTGCTGAGGGGAGCAGCGGGCACAGCAGGAGAGGTCCGTTGAGCCATGTGGGACCCTTGCCAGTGGCCGGGGATCGAAGAACCGGTGCTGCAGAGGCTGCGGGCAGCTTCGCAGCCCAGCGCTCAACCGCTGAGCCACCAGGGGAGGCCCTCAACTTAACTCTTTAAAAAGATTGAACATGGAACCAAAAATCAATAAGGCAAATCATCAATATCTTTATTTTACCAAATCACAATTGCCAAGAACAACATAATAAGTGAGAAGTTGTACAATTAAGTCAATGTAACTAAACAATTACTTCAGTTAGAACCTATGTTAAAGCTCTACATACATTTCATGTCATCATCAGAACAATCTTAGAACAAGGTATCGTTATTACCTAAAAACTAAGGCTTGCAGTGTATGGTAGCAGGATCCCAAGAAGTCCAACATGTGTACATGACTACATCCTCAACCAAAGCCTAGAATAACCACTTGCTTTGCTATGGTATCAGAATAATGTCTTCCTTAAACATAAACTCTACAATGAATTACTGGGACCCTCTACACTTGAAAAGACAAAAACACACTATGACAAGTAATCCTCTATCAAGCCGGTCTCTGCATTATCTTTCATCTCAGACATTATCAGTTTTTTCTGTGAGAATTACATACAGTTTTTCTGACATAGGGGAAAAATATGTTTTAAAAAATAGCAAAAATATTCCAATGATATACATTGCTTAGTCCTAGTAACTATTTTCCTTGTCTTGTATTAAGGAGAACAACAAGGTTACAGGGAAAAAATAGGATTGTTAAAAGATAATTATGAAAAATATGTATGAACAACAGTATCACATTACCACTGTTTTGAATAACAACAAAACCAGAAAATATTTAAAATGCTCATTGGTTATATTTCCATATTTTGAAATATAATAAACTTGATCATTTTTTTATTTGTACACCAATTCCTGATCTATCATGTATCAGATACTACTTGAGGAACTGAGCATCTCCAGCTATATATTGCTTATGAAGACCAAATTTTAAGAATGTATTTATAAATTTTATAAATCTTTAAAATAGATGATACTGTACCTGAATGCTTCCTTCTGTATCAAGAACTTCAGCAACAGGAACTGACTGGATGAACTGCATGAAGCCTACACAGAAACATACACACTGAAGTAAGCGCACTTATTGGTAAGCAATAAAAAGAAAGGTTCTGCGAAGAATAACTTTATTTGCAAATATATACACTACAAACTGAAACAATTTAAAGAGGTGTATAAACACTGTACTAAGGTTATACTGACAATTATGTCAGAGGAACTACAAGGAGTAAATTGGTAAATTAAATTACAGTAATTCAACATTTTTCTAGGCCAGTATTACTATACACAAGGAACATAGTAATAGGTTAAGCTTCTTAAATCTGGCATAAAAGATTTATTCTTTCTGTAGTTTTGTGACATAAATCAATTAAAAATGTTTCAAATTTAAAATCACTTTTAAACCTGGAATTGTGGAATATCGGTCACCTAACCTTGAGAATGTATCATGTTCATTGGTTCTTTTTAATACTTCATTCTCTGTTATTTCTTGGAAATGATGGGAAAGGAAAACATAACTTCTTTGAACTACCAAACAATATACAGTCGATAATACAAGTGGAAAGGATGTTGGCTTGGACAGGGTGAGGGTGATGAGGGTAGAGGAGGAGTCAGGTTCTAGATATATTTGAAGGGAGAGCTGTCAGAGTTTGCTAGCAGATTAAATGTGGGTAGTAAGGGAAATGAGCTGACAAGGTTTTTCTTCTTTGTTTTACTATTACTGTCTAAAAATAAATTATGTGTTTATCACTCTCCTTCAAATTCTTTTTTTTTTTAAAGATTTATTTATTTATACAAGCACTGTGGGTACAGTCAGAAGCACGGGAGGGTGAGAGAATTTACCAGAGCCAGAGTGGGGAACAGAACAGTCAGACTGACGAAGTACACTGCTGAGGGGAGCAGCGGGCGGCAGGAGAGGTCTGTGCGCCATGTGGGAACCTCGCCCAGTGGCCAAGGATCGAACCGGCGCTGCAGAGGCTGTGGGCAGCTTCACAGCCCAGCGCTCAACTGCTGTGCCACCGGGAAGCCCTCTCCTTCAAATTCTATGTGCTTAATTGATGATCAACTGGTTGCTAATTCTACAATCCCTGCTCTTTGAAAGCAGGGATTCTTGTCCAATGCTCCATCCTGAGAGTCTGGTATAGTCTGACACAGAGTAGCCATTCAATAGAGACTGCTGAATCATGAATGAATGAATGAATGAACAAGTAACTGCTATACTTCCAACAAGAGTTGTTCTAATACAGCAGAAATGGAAAGTAGACATTTCCTTTAATATAGCCCATGAGTTCAGACCCAAATTCAGTTTTGTATCAATATACTGGCCGTATCAGGGAAAAAAAATGTTTATTAGTTTGTATTTTAGGTTCTCAAATTTATCCTAGGCGTTTATATCTCAAATTGCTCCTCACTCACCTGGGGTTTGTTTGCTATATCTTTCATTTATTTACTTTATTTATTTATTTTCTTCCAAGTCTCCAACAGTCATGGCTTTCAGTTTTCAATTTTGTGGAATTTCTAGAAGAGAGCCCTGTTCCACTAATAACACATAATGCATTTCTAGATTTCAAAGTAATGTTCACTTGTTCAGTTTTTAGGCAATGAGCTTTATAGACAGTAGAATTTCATGACAACCTAACCCTTGTGTGCCTAGAAAACCTCTGAGGGTGGGAGGGATGATGACTAAAGAAATGGAAGGAAAGCCTGATAAATTGTAGGGTATTAGGCAGTTATATAAAATTCAGTGTAATAAAGTCTTTTAATGGGGGGCTGCAATTGTATGGGGAATATAAAAATAAAATTTATTATTAAAAAAATAAATAAATAAATAAATAAATAAAGTCTTTTAATCAGAAATAGACGTGAGGCATTAAAATCCTTAAGTGCTTATTATAGATTACTAATTATCTATATGATTATAAATAATGGAATAAATTGTGTAAAGTACAAGTTTGGTCATTTTTCATGTTTTTTTAAAATGAGGTTTCTGATTTTAAAAAACAGACAATAATCAAGGATACAAAAAGATTTCTAGCCCAGAAGTGAAATAATCCTTGAGTAGTTACTGGACTGCCTGTAATTTATGAAAATAATTAATGGCTTGCACAGCTTTCTGAATATCTGGTGATTAGTAAAATAATCTTCTTTTTCAAAGTGACAAGAAAACTGACCTTTAAGCACGAACAGGTTAGAACAATTTATGTTAAAAACCACTTTCTGGCTTAGTGGACTGAACAGAATACCTAAAGTGAAGCTGCCTTTGAAGCTACTTGATTCCTACAAATATTCTAAATGCTTCAGGGCTTGGGTAACCACTGAAACAGGCAAACTCAGAGTCCTTATGATCTTCTGGGTGTAGACCCTGTGCTCTGCTCTGCTCTGTCCTATTTCCTTAAACCCTTTAAGTTATGATCAATAAGAATCCGAGTGAAAGAAGGGACGGAGCAAAGGAGAAGGAAGCAGAAGTAGAGAAGGATGGAGGGGGAAGGTGGAAGAGAGGAATGGAGGAGAGAGGAACCCCTGGCCTCTATGTAGCAAATAGGCCTAAACTTCAAAAAAATTCAGAATACTCTTTAGCTCTTAATGTCAAGTTAGTTCTAAACTAAATCAACATTATTATGTAAAGGATGAGCTACTGGAGGAATTATAAGCAATTTCTTTGTCTTTGAACACTTACAGTTCACTGTTTGAAGGAAAAGAACAGATTGTGTTCTTTGGGACAAGACCTTAAAACCCAAAAGTCAACCTAACATACTGTCAAGAAACATGTCATTTAGAGACCTGCTGTTGTGCCAGTCCTTTTCTACAGAACACCCCAGTAGCTCATTGTGTAATTCTTTTAATAATGCAAAGATCATACAGTGAGTACTGCATTAAAAACATACTCACTTTTTCTAAGGATCTACAGGAAATGTATAAACATTCTGCTTATATGGTCTTTAAGGATACTCAGAGTGAATAAATACTGATGAGACTTCTTTTATCTTTTTATTTTTTTTCCCTATCACCATCCTTATAACCCTTTGTTCCTTTCTCCAACTCCCACCCACCCCAAAAATAACAGGTATTTATTGTTTATATACTGTGTAGCGAGAAATTTATCCAGTAAAAAATAGAGCCACAGATCACATGAATGTAGAAGTTTTACTGTGTAAGTACTATGAACAAAAGTACTATGAAAAAGAATAGTGTAGAGGAGACTAAAGTCACATCAGAGAGAAGAGAACATCTGAGACGTTTTGAAGTATAATAAAATAGATAACTGTGGAGCAAAGTATGTTAAAGAAAATGACTATAGCATAAATGAAGATCTCATGGCTTAAAGAGCATAGTGTATACCAGAAAATGGAAAGTGGCCACTGTGGCAGAAGTCTGGGAAGCAAGGAGGAAGTAGCATAAAAGAATCTTAAGACAGGGCAGGGCAGTCAGCTACATTAAGGCTTTTATGTTTGTCTTAAGAGCAAATGAAAGTTGGCACAGTCAAAAAGCAAATTTGTACTTTTAACAAGATCATCTAAGAAGACAATGACAAAAGTAATAAAACTATCAAAAAGATTTTTAAGTGGTGAGAGGAAGGACAAAATCTAAAAATATACATTTCTCCAAGGTACCAGAGGGTATGAATCTCTAAGAGTAACAAGACTATGAAATTTACAGTAGGTATTAGGTAAGCATTCCTAGCGAATCTGCCGCCAAACTTCCAAAGGTTATTCAATTTCAAATAACCCTATATTATGAGTACACATGTATATACACACAAACACGTATTTAATTGCTATGGCAATATCATTGGCTGAGTGGCTTTATAAACAGAGCACGGCAAGAAACCTCTCTAGTGCAGAGTAACTCTTAAATGGTGACTCAGGATTTAGAGCACCAGATAAGAAGTTTTGTGAATTGCAACCAGTTTTGAATGCAAAGAAATATATCATAAAGGTATTAAATTTTCTTTTCGAAACACTATTACATGATCATAAGAGATGAACAGAAGGATAGAAGGAAGAGAGGGAGAATGTCAGGTAGGCATGTAGATCCAGTTGGTCCTCAGTGCTACAAATTAGCTCAACCATAAAGATTTTTAAAAGCATTTAATTAAAAAAGGAAAAATATGCAGACTGGACATTGGAAAAAACAATCATGATGTAAAGTAAACTTACCATGCTTTGTACTAGTGGCTAATACTTTATAAGGTGTCAACTTCAAATCCAGATTTTCTTTCCGTAGCAGCTTTTAATAAAAAAAAATAATATATTAACCAAATGTAAAGATGATTATGAAAGTTTTATAGGTAAATATTATAGTTTAATATGAAAAAGATTCGGGGGACAAACAAAATTAAGATTTAACTACATTGGTTAATTTAACTTTTATCATCAAAATTAATTTAGTAAGCACTTATATGATGGTATGCCATATTTTTAATCTTATTCTAAATCACTAGCACTAATTTTCAATGAATGTTAGGGTTCTTCCTATTGATCTATGAATTCTGTACTGGACATAAAGTACTTCAACGCTCAGAAGGGAATGAGGACAAACATGCTACTTCAAAAGCCAGAGATGAATTTGAGTTTGAATTTTAAAAAGTAAAAATTAGGAAATTACTAAATATTATATGAAGAGAACTGGGGGAAATGTTTTTATAAAAAATGCATATATACAAGGGCCTCCCTGCCAGGGAGCTAACCACATGGTACAGCAGACCTCTCCTGTCTTGCCTGCTGCTCCCCTCAGCAGTGTATCTCCGTAGATCTACCTGTTCTGCTCCCCACTTTGGTGACTCTTCTCACCCCCTGCACATCTCATCCATGCCCAATTCTTGTATAGATAAATAAAAATAAATCTTTAAATAAACAGATTGTTCAGTTCTCCAGGATTGTACCTGAATGTTCACAAATACTACTGTGTCCATACAGAAGTTTTCTAAAATGAAAAAATGTTCCCTATCAACATAAGGTTATGTTCACCTTGTCCATAAGTGAAATGATTTGAAGAATAAGTTGATCTTGGCGTAAATCATCCCCATGCTTAAATATAACTGGATATTTGCCTCCATCTTCTGTCTTAAAGAATAATTGTGCAGGCATAAGAGCGCTCTGGAAATAAAAATAATACTTTCAATTTGGATGTAAATTAATCCGTTACATTTACTATATACAGAGAGAAATGCTGACATGGAAGGTAAACAAACAGGTAAGGATATAAAAAAAAGATGATTTCGCAACAAGCTGCAAAGTTGCATTAGGGTACCTTGGAGAGAACAATGAACTAGCTAATAGAAGATAACATGGCAGCAATAGGCCAAGCTCTGAAGTCAGTTATGGTTGGGACTCCAGGTTGTGGCGGAACTGAGTTAGCTCATCTTGTGTGTGGTCTTTACCCTTCTTTCTCTTATCTGTAAAATAAAACAAGCATCTCCCCTCTAGAATTTCAAAGGGGATCAGAAACCATAAAAGTCAAGAATCTGCCACCATGCCTGATACAGCACATCCTAAATAGGTTCACCATCATTTTAATATCACAGACATACTGAATTTCAGTGAGATGAAATAGCAAAGCACAAAATATGCCAGATAAAAAGTCAAGAGCGGGCCTCCCCTGGTGGTGCAGCGGTTGAGTGCTGGGCTGCGCAGCTGCCTGCAGCCTCTGCAGCGCCGGCTCAATCCCTGGCCACCAGGGAGGGTCCCACATGGAGCGCAGACCTCTCCTGCCACGCCCGCTGCTCCCTTCAGCAGTGTATTTCAGTCACTCTGCCTGTTCTGTTCCCCACCCTGGCTCTGGTGAATTCTCTCACCCTCCCGTGCTTCTGACTGTACCCAGTGCTTGTATAAATAAATAAATAAATCTTAAAAAAAAAAAAAGTCAAGAGCACTGGTGATTAATGGCAGGTATCCAACTATTTATAGTTGAATTGTTGCTTTTATAAAATAAGGGGGAATCTAAGTATCTGTACCTTTTTCTCTATAATAACCTTGTCATACCCAGAATTATTCCCTTCATTAAATGAAATCTTCCTTTAGTTAATATATGCTTAAATCAACAAGCAATGAAATGAAATTATCTTCAGAAACTAAACTTCACATAGAGAAGCATACTAAGACCACTACTTTGGAGATAAACGATCACAAAACTTCTGAGAGATGCCCTACTGGTTTTGATCACTGAGAATTAATGTCATATGGAAATCTGAAGAATGCATAATAATCTAAAGAAATTAGTCTCACAAAGAAAAAGTTCACAGAAACCTTACACAGCCCATGAGAGAAAACAGCATGAAAAGTATCACAAAGAAGGATAAATAAGCATGTAACAAATAGTAAAATGCTAATGGAAGTAAAATGGTAGGAACACAGTTGTTTAAAATTTAAAATTCTTTCAACTTTGCTATATGTTTGAAAACTTTCCTTTAAAATATTAGGTGAAAAGTATCAAAAATGCGTCAAAGACCAAAGACTGACTGACTGTGGTGATTATTTTGCAACATATACATATATTAAGCTATTATTTGCATGCTTAAAATGTTAAAGATTTAATTATACCACAATATAAAAAAGCGTCAAGGCTTTTTTGAAAACTCTGAATTTTAAATAATCTTAAATTTGAAGTATACTTTTATCACCCCAAAATGGTTTATAAATTACCTTAAAGGTCATTTGGGACCCAAAAATTAAGTCACTATGCTAGCCTATTCTAATAAATGCATACTTTAAACAACTACTCAGAATTTTCCAGAATGCTCACATTTTTATGGGCTGAAAGAAAAAAACTGGATATTGGGGTCAAAATGATGTCCCTTGCTAGTTTATTAATGATGTACTTCTTACATGTATGATACAATTATAATATTGTATAATTAAAGAGAAAATAGGTCCAGAGTATACCTAACAATAGTGGTAAATATACATTCTTACATTCCACTCTTATAATTTCTGCTCTTAGATATTCTTTACCTTCCTGTTAAAAAAAAAAGGTGAAACTACCTTTTCAATTTACTGTTCCTGGTTAGTTCTTCAGCAACAAGAATGTCTGAAAGCTGGTCTAGTTGGAAATTCCAGGCAAAAGGAACACTTATTACACATATACTGTCTTCTGTGTAGCTTTTTGCATTTATAGTTGCATGGACTATAAGCATAAACTAAGAAATATTTGTGTTTTATCTCCTGTAACAGTATTTTTTTTAAATTGTAGGTTAAATTCTATTAATGAGTTTTTAAAACAAACCAAACATGTTACAAGCAACATTTGAAAATTAAAACATTAAGCTAGTTTTTAAGAGAACAGAAGTGACCTGAGTCCACAATACATAGTAGGAGCAATTACTACTATATGTTTTTGTTGTGCAGGCTAGCCTGCCATAGGTTGCCTTTAAATATACCCTTTAAATAACAATTTCTTACTATAATCACACCCCTTTTAGATACTTAAATTGTTGTTCTATGAACCCCTTAGCTGGATGCAATGTAACACCCCAATGCAACTTATGCCTTGCCTTTTCATGCTAGAATCACAAAATCTAAAATATTATGTCTCACAGAGAACTTTCATTATAATGCCAAGCGGAGAATGATGCGTCACAGATAATAACCAAATAATGTTAAAAAGGTTAGCTAGGATTCATATTTAACCATGTGAACTTATGAACTGAATATATGATACAAGTTTTGCAATCTAACTTTTTTTAAAAAAGCTAAAAGTATTTGTGGCTTGGGCCTCCCTGGTAGCGCAAGGGATTAAGCACCACACTATGAAGCAATCCACAGCCTGTGCAGCATGAGTTCAATCCCTGGCTGGCCAGGGAGCAACCCATATGGCCCAGCAGACCTCTCCTGACTCACCCGCTGCTCCCCTCAGCAGTGTACTTCAGTCAATCTGCCTTTTCTGTTCCCCACTCTGTCTCTGGTGAATCCTCTCACCCCCCCCCCACCTCTGGCCTGTACCCCAGCTCTTGTATGCATACACAAATAAGTCTTTAAAAAAAAGTAGGTGTGGCTTTTATTAACAAATAGTTCAATGAATTAAAGATTAAAAAAAAATCTGAGATATAAAAATATTTGATATATTTCATAAAAAAATCCCTATATAACACAGGACCTTAAATCAAAACAAACTGATAAATAAAAGGTACCTATTCATCTAGCACTTACTAAGTCAAAAGAAATTGCACATATCACCTGCAATATAATAATTTTTGAAGGCAGTGTCTCTGTTTTAGCTTTAAAGAATTAGGTTTCAATCACATACCTTAAATAGTGTGGCTGTTTCTGGAATTATACCTCTAATTTTCACCTGGGGTTCTAAAGGCAATGGGATAAGCTCCACATCTGCCAGATTCATCTTTTCATTGTCTCCAAGCAATGCCTGTAACCTCTCATTCTAGAACAAATCAGAAAGGATTAATTAGGTTAAAGGAGAAAACTCATTTATAAAACATATAGTAAAGACAGAAAGGTCTGATCTATTTATTTTCAAAGCACCATAAAAGTGGGTGCAAAGTAACATAAAGCAGACATTATGTATATGATGCTCAAGCAGGTTTAGTTACCTTGTCAATAACAGCAGCATGTTTTTATGAACTGGGATATAGGCCAGAGGTGTGGGGGTTGGGGGTGGGAGGATGAGAGGATTCACCAGAGACAGAGTGGGGAGTAGAACAGGCAGATCTACTGAAATACACTGCTGAGGGGAGCAGTGGACGAGACCAAGACAAGAGAGCTCTGCTGCACCATGTGGGTCAGCTCCTGGGTTGGGGATTAAACTGAGGCCACAGCAGTGATAGTGCTGAGATTTAACCCCTAGGCCACCAGGGAAGCCCCCAGCAGCATGTTTTTAAAAGGAGTACTTTTTTGACTAAAAAGCTGAACTTTACTAAAAAGGTTAAAGAACACCTTTTCTTACAGCTGGGAATCAGGAATATACTTGAGATGGACTTAATTGAAGGTACAAAATTAACATAAAATGATAGAATCAGGAATACATTTAAGCATATCCTATTGCTTTCCTGTTTTCAAAGGATTTGTGAAACCACAAAAAGAAAGTGTAATTTCATTTGGGTTTTAATTTTGTATAGCAAAATATTAAGAAGGAATTTTGTTATGGTACTCCGCTACATGTTGTGGGTTTAAAAGTAAATTCAATTTACTTGAAGGAACTTGGACCTTACCTTTTAATGTTTATCGACTGTTTGATATTAAGCTTATCCTAATCTCTCATCACCTATTTTCTTCAGTTTACAAGCACAGTACACTGAGTCAAGATTTCAGAAAGTGAGTAATTCAACCACAGTGAAAGAACTTTTTCAGCTTGCAGTGTCGATACTATTTACACAAAACCTTTCTAATCAATTTCAGAGGAATAATCTATTTCTCTCCTTAGAAAGCTGTGAGAGTACTTTCAGGGTGAATACTTGACTTGTCAACTCCAGGAGCATAAAACACTTCAACTGTAACGTTACTAAAAAGATGTATGCCATAAGAAGGGAGAACTCTGGAATCAAAAAGATGGAAATTCAGAAAAATAATATATTTCAAGGCCTACCAAGACTTTAAATTATTTGCTTTCAGTAATACTCCAAATCTCCCTCTAAAGGATGAAAAGTCCAAGTTAAGGTACACTGAAACTGTTTAGAATTACTACATATCCCTTATAAAAAACAGTTATATCTGCTGTATGACCAGATATTCCAGCATAAAGTAATGCCAGTTAATATGAATTTCAAGTTTTCCTGTAATAACCAATTTCTAATTGATGTGCTAAAGAACAAAAATGAAAAAGCAGATAAAGAGAAGGGTGAGAAAACCAGCCACTTCTCGTCACTTCTACTGCCACAAGCCGTGGTCCAAGGGCTTGGACCATCATTTCTCACCTCAATTATTGCAACAGCCTCCTGATAGTGCTTCTTCAACCTTTGAATCTTCCAGTTTCTTAACAAAAACAACTAGAATACTATAGATCATGTCAATCTTCTGTCCAAAACCTCAAAGAGCTTCCCCTCTTCCTCAGTGTTTCCTTATAACGGCTTAAAGGAAATACTCTATGTTTCCCTATAATGTCTGTTCTCATCTACTACTCTCCTCACACTCCCTTTGTTCCTAACACATAGGGCTTCTTCTTATTTCACAAACATGCTATATACACTCCCACTTCAGGGCCTTGGAACTTGCTCTTTCTGGTCTGTAATAGTTTTATAGATATCCACATGGGTTGCACCCTCACTTGCTTCAGGCCTTTATTCAAACAGCAGCTTCTCAGAGAGGCCACCCTGATCACTATTGAGAAGTGAAACACTATTTGATAACTTAAACCAAGCATTTCCTACCCACCTTTCCTGCTATATTTTTGTCAACAGGACTCAATTCTATTGAGCAAACTTTCTATTTTCTGTCTTATTTATTCTGTTTATTTCATCCTTCCATAAGAATATTAGGTCGGTAAGGGCGGAGATATTTATATTCATTGCTATATCATCAAAAGTTAGAAAAATGCTTGGAAGTAGTAGGCATGCAACGCATTTTTGTGGAATAAATATTATCATCTAAAGAATCACAAAGTAAATAAGAAACTACTTAATATTCAAAATGAAAGTTTCTTTAAAGAAAAAGCCAGTGGAAATGCATTTTTACTGAAACTCAAACATTGAGAATCAGAAACCTCTGCAATAGAATTATTCCTAAATTATAAATCTATACAGAAAAGATAGCAACATTACAATTTATTTTCCCCATGGGCCATTAAACTCCTGGATTACCTTACCACTTAGCTGGTACTGCTGCACTCACCATGGCATGTCTCTCCCAACTTCATTATGAGGGAAGGGAAATCACTACAGATGACTTTTCAATTATTAGCAATAGTCATTTCATTACTACTTACTAGTAACAACACAAATAATGATAGTAGAGAGCCATCAATGGAGTTTCTGCAAGGTGCCAGGGCTTGTTTTTAGTAAATCTATATAAATATCTAAAAAGATATTTAATCAATGTTAAGAATATATTTGGAACTGTATGACTAAACTATATGCAATGGGGCAAAAACAAACCTTATTTTGTAAATAGGCAGTCATTCTCCAGAATAGCTAAAACTGAGGTATAGTCAGAAGCTCATGTAAGAGGAACAAGCCAAATAAAACCAAACTATGTTTTAAATACATGTCCCAAACTGACAGTCACAGGAACAGACACTCCCTCTGCTGGTGGGCACTTGCTATTACACTGCTTCTGACAGGAACCTCAGGCTAGAGGGACAGGGGAGGGAATGGCAGCAGCGATTTAGCTATTTAATTGTTTTTGATTCTTCTCAGTAAGAAAAAAAACAGCAACTCAGTATAAATAATGTGTTTCAGGTCTCCCTGGTGGCACAGGGGTTAAGATGCAACCTATTAAGCTGTTCGGAGCCACTGCAGCATGAGTTCGATACCCAGCCAGGAGCAATCCACATGGCACAGCAGACCTCTCCTGACTTGCCTGCTGCTCCCCTCAGCAGTGTACTTCAGTCAATCTGCCTGTTCTGTTGTCCACTCTGTCTCTGGTGAATCCTCTCACACACACACCCCCACCCCCACAGCTCTGGCCTGTACCCAGCTCTTGTACGTATAAATAAATCTTTTAAAAATAAATAAATAATGCATTTCCCTTCAGCTTATTTCCTCCTACCCAACCTTGTGAATATTATTCCACGCACATTTCTCTGCTAGCATTTCTCTTTAGTCCTGATCCCCTGCCTCTGAGCTCTGGACTCCATCTTTTCTTTTCTCCACTTTCCTCTCACAAATCTGGAAAGCAATAAAATGGGTTGTCTTTTTATTCAAAGGTCACTAAGAACGATCTGCCTGTCACAGGATTAGGTAAAGAGAAGATATCAAGTGACTCCTTCATATCATTTAGATTAATGATCAAGAGAACACCCACTCCTCTATTTTCATCAAGTGGAAGCCTATCACTGACAGAAAGAAATCAAAAGGTAGTCATGAAAAGATACAAAATAGTTACTTTGAGATTTCAAGTTTGTATCTGTTTTCAAGTTTGTGTTGTTACTAACAACTAATTCAGTAACCTGGGGAAAGTTACTCTGGACCTTCATCTTCTCAGAATGCTAGACTAAGATCTTCAGAGGTCCTTCCCAGGACAAACTGATCATATTCTAAGATACCAACATTCTGAAATCTGAGCTAGTAAAGTATTGCTGATAAAGATATGGGCTCAAAATGCCTGGGTACAAATCCCATCTCCAAAAATTACTTGCTAAAACACTGGATAAATTACATAATCTCTCTAACCCTAATTTCCTTCACAATTAGTATAGTAATGGTATTTAAAGTATAAGGCTGTTGTGTGAATTAAAAAATACATATACACTCATAAGACAGACTCCTACACATAATGAGTACTTGTAAATGTTCCTATTACCCTAACTATGTAAACATTTCACAAAATATGTCACCCAAAGAAACAGAGACAAAACTCAGTATTTAATAATACCGAGACACATTATTAGGCATAAAGAGAAAGCAGAACTCTCAGGTTTACCTTTTTCTTACGATTTCCACTTTCACGCTGCACTGCCTTCATTAGATGGACCAGTCGGTCCACAAACGTCTGCTGTGCAGCCAGCAGAGATCTCATGACTCTGACAGACTTATCACCCTGAAGGGAATCAAAAGAAAGGAAATTAGTTTTGTGCGGCATAGTGATCAGAGTTTTGCTAATAGCATGGGTAATCCTTATTTATTCTTCCAATAGCTGCAAACTTCATCATGAAGTGGAACTGAAAAAGTTTAATTATCTTGATTCACAGATAATGAGAAATCTGCTATCTTACTTAAACACCACCAACTCTTCCACGGTTTAAAATTATCTTAGTCTGCAGTAAACACCAGTATATTAAAATGGGTCTTCTCTCACATTAAAATCCTGTGACAAGATAGAACTCATTCACCCAAATACACATATTCATTGATTCGGTGACTATGTGGAGCCCATAATATCTTCAGAAATGTTCTGGTTATATGGCAAAAACATTTTCCTTAAAAGAACTGAAAGAAATGCTTTAAAAAAAAAGGGGCAGGGCCTCCCCGTGGCGCAGTGGTTGAGTGCTGGGCTGCAAAGCTGCCCGCAACCTCTGCAGCGTCAGCGCCAGTTCGATCCCTGGCCACCAGTGCGGGTCTCACATGGCCACGGCAGACCTCTCCTGCCGTGCTCCCCTCAGCAGTGTATTTTGGTCCTTCTGCCTGTTCTGCCTGTTCTGCTCCCCGCTCTGGCTCTGGTGAATCTTCTCACCCTACCGTGCTTCTGACTGTACCCAGTGCTTGTATAAATAAATAAATAAATAGATAGATAAATAAATAAATCTTTTTTTTAAAAAGGGGGGGGCAAGTACTCTAATAACAAAGTAATACATAATTGCTAATAAAATATGTCATTAAAAACTATATGCCTCAAACTCTTATTTATGCAGTGATCTCCAGTTCAAAAAATATTGTACATCTAATTTCTCATTTATTCTTCTCAAATATATTGACAAGTATAGCTGAGAAGGGTCCTTGATGAAAAAAAAGAGAAAGAAAAGAAAACAGGGAGGGAAATGGAAAAGTGAATCTTTTTGTTGTTCCATGGTTGACAGACTTGGCATAAGAATCAAAAAAATAAATACTCAAGCCTTGTTGGCTATCTACTTTCTATTCCAACTACCAACTGCAATTATAATGCAAAAGCAGCCATAAACAATATGAAAAAGAACAAGCATTACTGTTCCAATAAGATTTTACTCATGAACACTGACAATTGAATTTCAATAATTTTCAAGCATCACAAACTTTTCTTATGATTTTTCTACCATTAAAAAATATAAAGAATATATATACATGCATTCTTTATAAATACATTATTAGCTCATGACACATATCAAGACAGGCAATAGGCTAGATCTGACCCATGCATTGATTTTGCCAACTAGCACGTTAAATGGTTACCTTCAACAATGCTTGGCTGAATCGTCTCATTACATTCAAGTACATTTCGTGGGTCTTTGGATCTCTCTGTTGAGTATCTTGATCTTCACATTCCACTATCACATACCTTAAAATATGTCAAGTCATTCATACAAGTGAAATGAAACTCCATTTTGTGAATACTGATACCTTTCCATTAAAATAGATTAATTCACATTTGAGAAATAATCAAATGAGAGCAATGAAACATTCCTTTAACAATCACCTATAAAAGGTAAAATTATCTAATTTAGTGTTCCTGACTGTTTTGGTGGGAACAAGACATAATAATAAATACACCTGAGAATCACACAATCAGATGTATGCATACAGATGCATGAAACTGAAAAAAATGTTTCAGAAAGCAATACTCTATGAACAATGTTAAGAGTTGAATTCAATGGATCACAATGCATAGTTTGTTAGTTCAGGACATTACCTATGTCAAACAGACAGTGACTCTAAGCTATAAAATTGTCAATACAGGCCTATTTAAATCCAACCTATACTTATCCACCCTTTAAAGTACTTGACTGTTTCCATTACCTTACTGTATTTTCTTTTTCCTGTTGACAAAGCAAACTCTTTTACAAATGAGCAATACAGGTAATATACAGGTAGCACCACTGCTCTATTCAGGCTTCCCTGATCACCAAGTAAAAATAATGGCCTCAACTATTTCCTGTCATTAAGGGCTTGTGTTAGTTCATAATAAAGATTAAATATCAAACACCTCTCAAAATCATTCAAGCCAATATACTACTGCAAAAAGAAAGTTCACCTAAAATAAAGACATGGGCCTCCCCTGGTGGCACAGTGGTTGAGCGCTGGGCTGCGAATCTGCCCGCAGCCTCTGCAGTGCTGGTTCGATCCCCGGCTGCCAGCGAGGGTCCCACATGGCGCACAGACCTCTCCTGCCACCCGCTGCTCCCCTCAGCAGTGTACTTCGGGCCTTCTGCCTGTTCTGCTCCCCACTCTGGCTCTGGTGAATCCTCTCACCCTCCCACGCTTCTGACTGTACCCAGTGCTTATATAAATAAATAAATCTTAAAAATAAAATAAAATAAAATAAAGACAGCATCATCTCCAAATATGAAGAACAAATTTAGTAAAGACTAGAAGATCTAGAGTTGAGTCATTTCTGAATTCTTTGTTTACAGCAATAAGCTAGGTTCTACAAAGGACTCTAAGTTACTCTTCAAGTAGAAATGTAGACAAAACTTTCCAGGTACCATTTCAAAATGACATTAGTTAGCTATTATCTAGAAATTTTGTTTTGTGGGGGAAATAGTCTTTATTACCTTGGAAGGTCTTAAAAGTTACAGAAAAACATGGCCAGGCACCCAAAGTTTACTTTTAACTTCAAATTACAGCAATGGCTATAAAAGTAAAAAAAACCTGGAGTGATTTATAGATCCTGATGCCCAACACTTTACAGATTGGAGACTTATAACTCCCCTCTGTGGCTTAAAAGGTTGACACTATTCATTTTGAAAGGATTGTTTGTACAACTATAGGCCTCTAAGGATTCAGCTTTAGCAGAAAATCCTTTTTAAATCACGGTATGGAGAACAAATGAAAAAAGGAAATTCAAAATGTCCAAAAGGAAAAACTCAATTAAAATTTATATTTTAATACATTTGTTCTAACAGAGTAAGCTTAGAGTAAGAGGCATTTAAATTGCCACATCTGATTAATATTTTTATACTTTTTGCCCATGTTCAAAGAAAGAGAATGATCATTTTAAACAAGTTCTTTGAAATTATTTTCCATATTTTTACCCTACAATCACAAAAGCAGTGTCCAACAAAGTAAGAAGTCCACATCAATAATTCTTTTTCCCCATGAGTATTCCTGAATATGCAATACACAGACTGTAAATTTGGGTAAAACAATTACTCCTCAGAGAATGAATAGACATAGCACATGCTATTGCTTCAATGAATTAGAGTTATAGTGGGAAAACACAAATCAAATCTAAGTTTGATGGAATGCTTATAAGACTGGGAGTTGGGGCTGCACTTTGTTTATTATCTATGCAGAAAACAAAGTGCTCATCTAAGGCTCCCATTGTTCAGATACTTTCAGAGTGGTCTGAAAATTCTTCCTACTTGAACTCAAATAGAAATCAAAGATTTCTATCACAACAAATTTCAGATTTTACAATGAACTCTGGTTTATAGTCAAATCCAAAGAAACAAAAATATAATCAGTACATGTACACACACTTTTAATAATAGTGATTACTCTTGAATATAAATTCTGAGGCCAAGAAAATTGGAAAGAAATAAAAATACCTACAAGGGAATTCTTAATAAATGATTTAAAAATATATAACATCTTACTTTAAAAATACCAAGGAAATTTTAAGTACTTATTCAAAAACTCAACAAATACCTCACACACTTTTTCCTTATTTCCTTTTAAATATTTACTTACAGTGTCATGAAGAAATACTTTTCCACAATAACAATGAATAGACATATACTTAAGAATTCAGATTGGAATATGGAGAATGTTAGAAAGCTGGAGGTTATACTAAGAGGAAATAGTTATTTGAGGATATGAGAATTTCTATGTAAACTTTTCAAAGTGATAATGCTGATTAACAACTATCCAGACTTCTTTCAATATATTTTCAAGAATATACTAAAATTTACTATGAAGGAAATGGAGTTTTATGCATAGAATATTAAACTGCTAAAGTAAAAGCAAGAATTCTTATTTTTCTTCTCACAACTAATGATACTAGGAAAAAATAGTTTCCAAAGGGGGATAAAATGACTGATTTAATTGAGATTATTGAAAGTGTTTTTTTTCCCATTGTAAAAAGAACATTAAGGCTAAAACTAAACAATAATTCATTGTTTGTGTAAGTAATGGATACCTATGTTTGTTAAAGAGGCCTCTGATACAGTTATTTATTTCTTTAGTTACAGGGGTAGTAACCAGAACAACAGTATGTTTGGGGAGTTGGAGAACATAATTAGGCTTGATTTGAGCTACACGACAGTTTTTTTCAAACAGTCTAAGACAAGATACTATTTTTATTTAATTTCTTCACGGGAAGAAAAATACCTCATTATTCTTCAAAAATAATGAGCTTTCAGAATGGGTCTATATTAATTTGTACCTCTCAAGTAAACTCAGTAAACCGAGCAATAAGATTAGCTCAGAGATAATTTCTATAGAGAAAAATAATTAACTACACCAAGAAGCTGCAAAAGCATTCCCTCAAAAGTACAACACAGAAGATTTCAGGTGGCCCTTACCCAGCTGGCTTTGCCCTTTATTTGCCCTGTAAAAACTAGATAAGGCCCCAGTGTTTTCTTTTATTAAACCAATATAATTCTCATTGTAGCTTAAGGTACTTGTCCTTTACACTTTAGAATCCTGTGACAGATAAAGGGAGTGATGCCTCACTGTCTTATCTCAGGAATCCAGTTAGTCTCTCTGCCTTAGCTTCTCCTTTCCTTCAACTCAATCAGGAATCATCTGTTCAGATGTAAAATATAAATATTTATACTTGTCCTATTCTACTGTTACAGAAACAAATAAGAAAAGATCAGTGAAAGAACTCTGTAAATGGCAAATTGCTAGAGAAATAATCTAATTCAAGTTTGGGTTCTGTCAGATTCAGAAACACCATGTTTCTGCCTCACTTTCATAATCTATAAGTAACTTCAAATTCTAAAATCTTATTTTTGCACAATTCCAAAGTTTTGGTAAATCAGGTGAAAATACACACCTGAATGACTGGGAAGTATCACAGTTATACTACCTAAAAAGAATAAAAGAAAAATTGACATCGAACTAAAAAAAAATCATTACCTTACTCAGTTTTACCTGAGATCCTGAAAAGTTAGTGAAAGGTAGAGCAACAGTAATGCTAAGAAGCATTTCCATTAGCTTAACAGGAAAGGAATATAGCTTGATATAAATACTGCACTTAGGCTTTTGAGGATTGCACATCTTATTTTAAACTGCCTTTATATTTAAAAGTGTGAAAAATAGTTCTAAGGCTTGATAAGAGAATATACAGAAAATGTCACATACCAGTATAAATAATTAGCCAGTGTGGAGTTTTTACAGGCTCTTGATATCAAGAAGGTACAGAGATCTTGCTGAAAAAAAGGGAAGAAATGTATATGTATTATATTACCATCTAGTATTAACAAGGAGGAAATAAGAGTCTAAATTTGCCTATCAATTTTAAACCATATATATTTGTCACAGACCAGATTTTAATCCATCCATCTATAACTCCCATCCATTCACCCAATATTTATTCTATAACAGGAAATATCTGAAAAAGGAAAGATAATGTGATTTGCAGAGTACCTTGTTCCCCTGAGCACTACAGGTAGTAGAGAAGACAGACATTAAAGAAATAATCACAGGCTTACTAGAACAGGAGAAAATATTTATACCACATACATCTGACAAGGGGTGGATATCCAAGATCTACAAAGAACTCATACAACACAACAAAAGGAAAACAAATGAATCAATCAAAAAAATGGGCATCAGGTGCCTCCCTGGTGGCACAATGGTTAAGACACAACCTATGAAGCTATAAGCAAGCCATTGCAGCATGAGTTCAATCCCTGGCCAGGGAGATACCCACATAGCACAGCAGACCTCTCCTGTCTTGCCTGCTGCTTCCCTCAGCAGTGTATTTCAGTTGATCTGCCTGTTTTGTTCCCCAACTCTGTCTCTGGTGAATCCTCTTACCCCCACACTCCTGACCTGTACCCCAGTTCTTGTATGCATAAATAAATAAATCTTTAAAAAAAAAGTTTAAAAAAAATAAGCATCAGAACTATATACGCACTTGTCCAAATAACACATACAGATGACCAATAGACACATGGAAAAATGTTCTTCATTTGCGGTAAATGCAAATCACCTCAAACCTGTGGGAGGTACCAAAAAGACTAGAAACAAGTGTTAGTGAACATGCAGAGAAAAAGGAACTCTTGTACACTGCTGATGGAAATGTAGACTGACCTACACTATGGATAGCAGTGTGGAGATTTCTCAAAATATTAAAAATAAATCTACCATATGATCCAGCAATCCCACTATATGCATCTCCTGAAGAATGCAAGAGCACTAATTCAAAGGGATATAAGCACTTCTCTATATGCATTGCAGTACTACTTACAATAGGCAACCAATGGACACAACCTCAGTGCCCAGAGACAAATGAGTAGATTTGTCAGATGTGGTATTTGTCAATGAAATACTGCTTAGCTATTAATAAAGACAAACTCTTGCTATTGTGACAACAATGGATGGAACTAGAGGGGGTTATGCTAAGTGAAATAAAGTCAGAAGGCAAAAGACAAATTCAGCATGGTTTCACTTACATGTGGAATACAGAGAAACAAAACAGAGGGTCAGATAAAGCCAAACTAATTAGAACCTACCACAGAAATGAGATTACCAGAGGGGAAGAGGGGAAGTGAAAGAGCACAATGGATTATGGTGGAAGAATATGGATGTCTTGATGAAGGGTATGGTGTGGTAACAACACCTGACTGGGGAGATCTCCTAAAATCATAAACAATGTTGTAAACCAGTGTTACCTCAATTAAAAAATAGATTTTAAAATAATAAATTTGGAAAACAGTCAAAAAATTTTAGATTGGGAGGTCAGAAAAGACAGTAACAAGATATTCAGAAAAGAGTGAAATGATACTCTATACAAAAGATCACCTGTGAGACTATTGAAGGAAAAAAATTAAATGTATAGGAACACTAAAGCAAAAAAAGCTGTAAAGGAAGACAACAGCCAAATTATGCAAGACCTTGTTTTTGTTTTGTTTTTTTTTTAAGATTTATTTAGGGCCTCCCTGGTGGCACAAGGGGTTAAGCACCGCACTATGAAGCAATCCGCAGTCTCTGCAGCATAAGTTCGATCCCTGGCTAGCCAGAGAGAAACCCACGTGGCGCAGCAGACCTCTCCTGACTCGCCCGCTGCTCCCCTCAGCAGTGTATTTCGGTCTGTCTGCCTGTTCTGTTCCCTGCTCTGTCAATGGTGAATCATCTCAACACCCGCATCTCTGGCCTGTACCCCAGTTCTTGTATGCATAAATAAAATCTTTAAAAAAAAATTAAAGATTTATTTATTTATGCATACAAGAGCTGGGGCACATGCCAGAGGTGTGAAGGGTGAGAAGATTCACCAGAGACAGAGTGGGGAACAGAACAGGCAGACTGACCAAAATACACTGCTGAGGGGAGCAACGGGTGAGTCAGGGGAGGTCTGCTGTGCCATGTGGGTAGCTCCCTGGCTGGGGATAGAACTTGTGCTGCAGTGGCTGCAGACAGCTTCATAGGTTGCTTCTTAACCCCTTGTGCCACCAGGGAGGCCCTATGCAAGACCTTAAGGCCACAGTATTGAATATGGATCTTATTTTAAAATCAACAATGCTTTTTTTTTTTTTTTACTTATAAGTGTCTAAAGAGATCATTAATTTGCTATCAGGCTATTGTTTGATAGGATGTTGCATTGGATAATGTTTTCCTAATTATAAAAAATATATAACTTATCTGGATTCACTAATTTTTTAGACTTCAAGACTGTGTATATGTGTGTATGGTGGGGGGAGAGAGTAGTGTTTCCGATTCCAGGGTGTTTTAATCAATATCAAACTCACTTGTCGACTTATGTGTAAAAATATACAGTGTAATATATGATGTCCATATAATATGTAACATAAAATAACATTTATTTGGTGCTTTTCATATAAAGTTAGAGATTATATACTATAAAAATAAAAAAAAGTAAATGCTTAACAAAAGATCTTAGGAGAGTGAGATAATCTTATTGACATTCATGAAAATGACTCCAGTTGCTCTGAAAAGTGTAGGCCTGAGAATCAGTTAAGATACTTTCACAGTAGTCTAGAAGAGGAGCAGAGAGAGATGATGATGGAGAGAATCCATCACCTGACCCAAACAAACACAATGGCTTCCTGAAACTCCAAGACAAATAGGCAAAGGAATGGGGAAGAAAACAAGATGCTCCTCGGGTGTCAGTGTGGAGACAAGGATATTGGTATCTCAAATAGCAGTAAGAAGAAAGGGACTCTAGCTTCATTGGAAGTCAGCTTGATATGCAGTAGACTCTTAATTGTTTCGGGATAGCACAAAGGTGAGGACTGCTTGTACAGTAGTCTACTCTACTGGGGGCAGGAGAAAGGGAAGGGAGCCATTACTCGAAAAGATTCTACTGCTTTCTGGGAGTGTTTGAGTTACATGAACACGTTAAGGAACTATTCAGCTAATGAAAGGTAAAAATGGTTAATTGTTGAGTAACAACATAGTTTCTTCAGTCATTAAAAAAATCAGAAATATATAAAAACTATTTATTTTCTTTAGCTTAAAAGTTTTGAGTGATAAATACTGTGTAAAACTAAATTCTGGACATATCTTTCAGAATCCAATCACTTCACACAATCTTCAACTCGTACCATACTCACCACCAAGCCTCATCTGAATTATTTCAATAGCTTCCAAGTAAAAGTTACTTGATATTGTGGTTTTACAAGGTCCATACAAGGGATCTTTTGCTCTCTCTGATTCATGCTTCTGCTATGCTTTTTTGGTCTCTGTTGTTCCTCAAACCCAGCAAGCTCTGATCCATACTTACTATTATGTTTTGCCTGAAATGCTTTTCTCTCAGGTCACCACATGGCTGTTTCCGCAACTGCTTCATCTTTAAAATACATTTCTTTCTCCAGGGAGACCTTCCCTGATCAATCTTTCCAAAATTACAGATACTGTACCCATTTGAACATTCTCTATGGCCCTTTTCTGTTTTATTTTTCTCTACAGAAAATAGATATCAACCTATCTTTAATAACATATAAATACCATTGACTATAATATCAAATAGTAGAATGTATGCTTCAGAGACAAATACATTGATTGTTTTGTTCTCTGTTGTATCATCCCCAGAACCTACAATCATTTTGGCATACAGTAAGAGCTCAGAAAATATGTATGAATGAATGAATTACTGATCAACACATTAGCCATGAAAAGGCCAAATAATTAAAAGTGCAGCTGAAGGATTCTTTAAAGTGCTCCCTTAAAGACTCTATGGTCCTCTGATTGAAACTCTCTTTTCAGTATTTTCTGTTTATAATTAAGAGGGAGGCAGACAGTCAAACTTTGGTTTATAGCAAAGAACTAAAATAAAAGTCATCCATTCATCAATATTAACTCCTAAAATGTTACTAAAGGCAATATATATATATATATATATATATGTATTTTAAAAATCAACTGAACTTTCTAATATTAAAGCATGTATTTTTGACATGAAGTTTTTGACATCAGGAATATGATTCTTCAGTGAGACTTTTGAGAAGAAATCCAACAACATATACTAGATCAACTTCCGCAATATACTTCTCAAGGTACCCTTCATAGCAGCATTAGTCAAACAAGTGTGTTTCACCTCTAAGCTTAGTCTAATTTGTTTTATATTAATTTTCTGTATAAGGTAAAAATAGCTGCTTTAGCACATTATCCCTATCATTAGCCATACATTTCTAAAATGTAATTACAAACACCAAAGACTACAGTGATGTTCATAAATGTTAACAATAAATATTCCATGTTTCTTTAATAAAAAATTTAAACCCAGTTTATCTTCACATTGCATGCAAATTCATTTATATGCTCAAAGCACCAATAAAATGCCCTGAAGTGAGGATTACCTGGCACTTTTTGCTGAGAAGAAAAGTCATAAACATGCATAATAAAACAAGTTATTTAATAAAGCTGCAATATTTAGTTTATTAATCAAAACAAGTGTTTCAAAGACCAACATTAAATGTGTATCTGGGAGGACATCTCCTGTAGGAAACTTGAAAAACTTTGTACTCACTTCCAGATTTTCACCATCTGAACCTTCTTTAGTTTTGGTTGCAGGAGGAGGAGACGATATGGGAGGAAGAGGGCTGGTTATAATTTGGGAGCTGAAAAAAAATAATGAGATATGACTAATGTGCAACATAATCTGTCTATAAGAGAAGATACATATTTTTTCATCTTATTTTACCTCAACTCCGTCTGGCCAAAGGATCACTTCTATATAACACTAGAGTTACATTATGCTCTGGAAAAAGAGGTTCCATGGTCAAATAATGAGTAACAGCCTACTGGAAATTTATGTGTAGTTTGAGTATTAAAGTTTTGATGAGTACTACAGTTTTGTTTTTAAAGCCCATTTTACTTTAAACCAATTTCCAAACATGTTTGGCCACAAGACCACGCTACTTCTTTTCATCTTTTTAAAAAACATACAAATTACAGGCTGTATTTGGAAAGTATCAGGTTATAGCTTCTACCCTGTCATAAAATCTTAAATAGACTTCTAATAAAACATTCTAGGTGGCATAAATAAGAAGGAAGGCAAATAAGCATGAGTAGTGACTGCAGGTCTCCAATGCACAGCTAAAGAAAATGGGGTCTCTTAAAAACAGAAAAATGCGTAATAGCCTAGGAAAGAAAAATGTGTTTTTCTGTTTTTCAGTTCACCTCCAAATGAAACAGAAAAGATAAAAAAATAGCATTATCATAACTATAAAGAAAGCTTCAGACCTACGCTCTTGGTTTATGTGATACTGAAATAAATGGACTGAATCAGGGAATCTGAATTCTCAAACTCGTTCTATTGTTATTAACAAATCTCATGGCGTTCCCAAACATTTTATATCACTAAGCCTCGGATGTCTCATCCAAAGGTTCCTATTATTTCAAATTTTAAGATTTTGTGAGTTATAACATGTTAAGTAGAAAGAACATGGGCTTTGGATTAACTCTATCTTTCACAAGATAGAAAATTCTAAGCTATTAACTTCTTCTCAATGTAAACTATAACTTTTCAATAAAATATTATGTTCAACAACATGTCCTACTCTTCATTTTATTTTTGTGTGAACATACTTGTACCTAAAACATTTGGAGCTCTATTGTAACACTTTTCTAAAAGTTTTATGTGTATTAGCTCATCTTATCTTTTGACAACCTTTAAAGATTAGTTACAATTGCTATATTCCCATTTTTAAGATGAGAAACTGAAGCCATAGGAAGTATTTTTACCTTAACACAAGTTGACACAGTTAACTTGGCAGAGTTAAGTTAAATGACAGCGTCAAGATTTTAACTCAAGTATTCTGACTCTGTAATCAGTACCGCAAAACAGTACTCTATAAATACAGTAATTAGCACTCTGTGAGTATATATGCCCTATTCATTGGTAAAATTTCAAATGTAGTAGCAAGTAAGGTTGGGAAATCTAGCAAAAAAAAAAAAAAAGACAGTTTGAAAGCAGGGGCAGGTAACTATCAGATTGAAAAAGTCTCTGGATATTCACCTATCTATTTCTGCAGAATTTACTCCAGAATTTGACACACTCTCTGAAGTTGAACCCTGGCTATCTTTCTTTGTAGGTTCTAATCCATTTTTTATGTCATCAAAATTTTCATATTTAAGAGCTTGGACGAGCTGTAATAGGTACATCAATAAATCCTGGAAAAACAAACAAAAATAAACTAATATTAGAAAAACAATGAAATGTGATTAAACATAATTTATTCTTAAATACCAAATTAACTACTAACAATCTAACAATCAAGTGACTATATTAAAGCTTCTCTATACTGCTTGTTTCTAAAAATCATTTTTCAATTGGGACAATAAACACTCTATTTTCTATTTTTTTGAGATTTATGGCATTCAAGATCTATATGTGAGCTTACATTCATTTTCAAAGGGAAAAAAGTATATTGCATAACAGAAAATTGATTAGTATATTTAATGACAGGTATCCTTCTTGAGCAGTCTAAGTAATTCAGTTTCACTGCTAGCTTTCATTACTCCGGAAATGCTGCTGAATGTATCATCACTGTGTTTTCCCATTTACAGAAAAGAGCAAGTGAAATTAAAAAAGGCTATATATTGTTATTAAATTCCTCAATGGGCCTCCCTGGTGGCGCAGCAGTTGAGCGCTGGATTGCGAAGCTGCCCGCAGCCTCTGCAGCGCCGGTTCGATCCCCGGCTGCTCCCCGGCCACAGGAGGAGGGTCCCACATGGCACGCAGACCTCTCCTGTCACCCACTGCTCCCCTCAGCAGTGCGCTTCGGTCCTTCTGCCTGTTCTACTCCCCGCTCTGGCTCTGGTGAATTCTCTCACCCTCCTGCGCTTCTGACTGTACCCAGTGCTTGTATAAATAAATAAATAAATCTTTAAAAAAAAAAAATTCCTCAAGAAGGGGCATATCTGAAGAAAATGTTCCTCTTTTTAACTCACTCATCACTATCTGATTTATTGGTAATCTGGTATTCAACATTCAAACAACACTTTCCTTTATTTGTATGAAATCTAACTTATTTTATTTTTTTTTAAAGATTTATTTGTTTGTTTATTTATTTATTTATTTGTGCAAGCACTGGGTACAGTCAGAAGCGCGGGAGGGTGAGAGAATTCAACAGAGTCAGAGCGGGGAGCAGAGCAGGCAGAAGGACCGAAGTACACCGCTGAGGGGAGCAGCAGGCGGCAGGAGAGGTCTGCGCGCCATGTGGGACCCTCCTCCGGTGGCCAGGGAGCAGCCGGGGATCGAACCGGCGCTGCAGAGGCTGTGGGCAGCTTCGCAACCCAGCGCTCAACCACTGCGCCACCAGGGAGGCCCTGAAAATGAATTAATTTTAATAGAAAGTACAAAGTCTATTTGTTACCTAGTCACAATCTTAAAAGTTCCTCCAATCATGAAGGACATAAGCATACAAATAAAACAAACAAACAAAAATCAAGTTTATTTTTCAGGCAATTCAGTAAAAATTTCCTGAGCTGTGAAATAGTATCTAGGTAGCAATCATCATTTTTCTCAAGAACAAGTTAATTCTAATGCTTCAGAGTATACATGTGAAGTCCTATGTCAGTATGACTTCCTAGCGTCCCATTTCTTATTGAATTAAGAGTAACTCTTATTTAGGCATACATTGTTAGAGACATGGGTTCTGTTCTTGCCTCCTGGAGAGCCATGTACATTTACACTCCTGTTAAAGAGAAATAACTTCTCTATTTCCTGTATTTTTAACCTCTTCGACTTGGCACATACTGCTTTCGCTTCTTGGAATGTAAACTAATGAACAACTACAAAAATTCCAATTTTCCTTCAGTGCTATCTCAAAAGCCACTTCCTCTTTCAATTCTAGTGGAGCATTTCTCACTCCTTTTGAGCCACAGGATAGAAAGAAATATGGCTTTAAATTTAGCAATTAAACTTAAATTCAGAAAGGCATTAAAGATTAAGATTTATTTTTACAAGTGTATAGCTTGTATAATATTAGAAAAATCTCACAAGATTTCATCTGTTTTCGTGGATCTATGGTAAAAATATAAGCTGATGTTTTTCAGATCATATAATGTTATGCCTACAAAAGAGCAGAACCTACCTAAAGTCTATTAGAACTAATAAAAGAAAACATGAAAGTGACTGGTAAACTATAAATATTAAGACAAAAATACCGTCTTCCATTTGACTATTGAAACTATAAAACATTTGTTTTACAAAACAGAAATGGGGTAGTTCATGATATTATCAATATAATTATGGAAAAAAAAATATTTAAAAGACATTTAAGAATTTTTATAAAACTGCAACTTTAATAAAAAAAAAATCATGCCTTCAGGAAGGAAGGAAGATTTAATATCACAAAGATGTCAACTTTCCCCAATATATAAATTTAATGTAATTCACTTAAAATTCTGTTGGAGTTTTAAGAAATTGATAATATTGTTCTAAAATTCCTGTAAAGAATGTACAAAAGTTATTTTAAAAACTGTAAAAAAGGGGCCTCCCTTGTGCCGCAGGCGGTTTAGCACAGTGCTATGAAGCTGTCCACAGCCTCTGCAGTGCCAGTCCGATCCCCGCAGACCTCGGAGCAACCCACATGGTGCGGCAGACCTCTCCTGTCTCGCCCATTGCTCCCCTCAGCAGTGTGTTTCAGTAGATATGCCTGTTCTGTTTCCCGCTCTGTCTCTGGTGAATCCTCTCACCCTCCCACGCATGTGGCCTGGACCCTGGTGCTTGTAAAAATAAACTAAATCTTAAAAAAAAAAAAAAAATTGTAAAAAAGCAAAAAGGGAGGGGTTTGTCCAATCATAAATTTAATATGAAGCTATTATAATTTTTGAAAGTATGTTATCAACGCAAAAATATAAACTTTGTAGAGTATTATCAGTAAAATATAAAATACAATTTTTTTCCTAACATACTAATGCAAGTTATTTATTCAAGATCATGAAAAAAATACATACACTAGTCTATCGCTAGAAATAAAGTTTTAGCAAAAGATTGTAAGTAGCTGCCAGTGAAAAGGCTGACTTCTTAAATTATAATGAACTTACAGTAAAATATTTGCTGCTATTCAAAAGTAATAAGGTAGGTCTATAGGTGTCAACAATTCTAATTAAGAATTTCAATTATTTTATATTTTTACAGATTCAACATGTCCTTAACATCATTATGAATATTGCCAATGTTTCCAGAAGTGATATGGTCTATACTAGCAGCTTTAATGATAACGGGGGAAAGAGTCCTCGAGGACAATAAAGCATAACATAAAAAAAGACCTGGCTACCTGGAGAGTTTATGGTACTTCAAGAAATTGGACTAACTGTTCACACATAGGACATGATTTTTTTAATCAAGTTTTTCAGTTAGCCAAGATATTATTTAGACAAAGTGGCTTTTAATGTACTATGCTATGATTACATGATTCTACTGTCTTTGGCAATACCAAAAAACATTGAAAATTTATAAAACCACAGATAAAGGAAAAGCAACGGCATTTTGTCAATTAGGAATTTCATACAACATGAATGATTTTAGTATGAATCTACATCATATAAATGTAATTGTCTAATTACATTTATTTCTGTAATTGTGTGAACACAAAGTTCAAAATTTTGTTCCGCATATATTTTTCTTCTTTACTATCAAGTGACAAAAGTAGCTATGTAACTATTTTTTTTTTTAAGATTTATTTACTTATACAAGCACTGGGTACAGTCAGAAGCGCAGGAGGGTGAGAGAATTCACCAGAGCTAGAGCGAGGAGCAGAACAGGCAGAAGGACCAACGAACACTGCTGAGGGGAGTAGCGGGCAGCAGGAGAGGTCTGCGCGCCATGTGGGACCCTCACCGGCGGCCGGGGATCAAACCGGCGCTGCAGAGGCTACGGGCAGCTTCGCAACCCAGCGCTCAACCGCTGCGCCACCGCGGAGACCCAATGTGTAACTATTTTTTAGATAGGAAACTGGGTGAGAATATATCATGTTAACAAAGTACATAGAGTCAGAGAAAGAAAAGCTGAAATTCAGATCTTGATATATACCTGAGCAACAATAAGAACAATTAAAAGATTTTGATTTTTAGTTTAGTAGATGCAGTTCATTACTGATGAAGTTCAGAGAATGGGAAATCATGAGATAACATAACCACTGCACTATTTACATGCTCTCTCTCTCTCTGAAACCTAAAAAAAAAACAAAACAAACAAACCTGACAATCAACAGGTGAACCATATTTAACAGTTTAGAATGCATACAATGTTTCTATTGTTATCCTTGAGCTCATTAACAAAAATGATGAAATGATCTAGAAATATCTGTGTCAGCAAGAACTAAAAGAAATCCAGAAACAAGCAAACACTTAGCCTCTAAACTAATGAGAAGAGTGAAGTCAGGCAGTCAAAAATGCTGATTTACAAATTTTCTATTTAACTTCTGAACCCATATCCAGGTGCTATCTTGACTACAACCCAAAGGCTCTTATCTAAATTCTATGAATAAATAAATAAATAAATAAATAAATAAATTCTATGGCTCAAGTCAAACAAAGAATTAATGACTGAAGTGAAATTTCTAAATTTCAAAATACATATTTTAACATTTCAAATAAATATTGCAAATTTTTTTTATCTCTGATACAGTAAAGACAATGAAGATGACAGTAACTGAATCATAGCTCTTAGAACTGTTTTTTAAATTAAAAAATGACAAACAGCCTGTCTATTAAAATTTGACAAAACCTGAAATTTGTCTCAAAATAACCTGTGGACAATAAGCAATGGAGAGGAGAGACTAAGTGGTGTTATAAATGAAACAAGATTGGCTGTATCTTCACTGCTGCCAAAGACGTGAGCATTCACTATACTATTTAGTGATTAAATTTTACTACAAAAAAGTGCACACAATCTTTCATAACTGCTGTATTTTCCATCTTGAAATTCATATACCACTACAAATTCAAAACAATGTATTTTTTAATAATTTTTTGATAAATAGTTTTGATGGGATCAGCATTTCTATATATACTGAGGCTTGAGAAAAGTCCTGTCATATTCCATAAGCCTTATAGGCTACACAGATTATGTTGGAGAAAATGGTCACCCCATAAAAATTAATAAGAACAAATTCCGAATTAGTCTACCTCACTAGGAATTACTAAAATTCAAAACCAAGCAATGCAGTGTGTCAACAAAGAGTATTCCTTCATCCCCAGTGGGCTTATATGTATGTAAATTATCAGCACAGTTTGCTGTCTTTGCTTTCCAGAGGATTCAAAGCCACCTTCACAAAAATCTACATATACTCATAATTGTCAGCAGCTGAGAGTTTAAAGGAGTTTGGAGGAGAATAAGATGACCATGCATCTCTATGCTTTAAAGGCCCCAAGGGCTTTTCAAGGCTACAATTAAATGTGGCTCATTGTATACTGACTGATAGAGGGGATCTGAATTATTCCCTAGCTGGTGCTGCATTAAACCATTTTTCATTAGAATTCCTTTTTCTAGACAGAGCAATACAAGCTCTGCTGCCAGGTAAATGTCCTGGGAGAGATTGTCCTATCACGTAAGAGATCAGGAAGTAAATTTTCATTTCACAGAGGAGTCCTTGGAGGAATATTTTAATTTTACTTGTGAAAACACATCTAGTATATCCTCTTCCTTTCTAAAGTTCCTCTCTCCACCCCCCTCCCCCACACAGATAAAAAACAGATACAAACACAGAGTCTATAATCAGGCTCCAGTTCAAAATGCATGCAAAGAGGAGTAATGAACAATGATATAACCTCATCATCTGCCTGACGTAACCGGGCAACAGCATAACGCCTCACTGTTGGATTTGTATAATGAGATGATAACAATTCCAAGGAATCCTCTACATCCATTGGCTTCCATTTTCCCAGAAGTTCCAATGCTTGTTTGGCCTCTTGAGGTAGATCCCAATTAACACATTTCAAGAATTTTGTCAAAGCCTAAAATCAGAAAAAAATTTTAAAATTAGAAACAGACCTATTACCTGAAGCAGGGAAGGTCAAGGGTGACTGGACAGAGTTCTACTTGGTCCTGACAACAGAGTCACAGAGTGAGTGACTGACTCCTGTAAACACTAAATAAAGTTATACGTATGATCTTAGAAAAGCACTGCATGATGGGGGAAAAAAGGGTATGTTTCCTGTAATTTTTTTTTCAGGTCAAATCACTTGCAGAGAACTATGAATTTTTTAAATTTCCATTGTTTTTCCTTCATTTGGCTTTTGTTTTTTTAAAATATTGCAGCCCTCAATACACAGAAATAGTAAAGGTATGTCTCACGCAGATTCTTGAGAGACAAGATTTTACAAGATGAATATGTGACATAGAATACAGCAAGTCAATGAATAAAAGAGCATGAAGCCAAGCAAGGGTAGAATTCCCAACACCAATTCCACTCTCAAACACACCCCCTACCCCCACCCCCAGTCACTGAAGGTTTCCTAGCTACATGAGGCACATGAGGACTCAAATTAAAATGCATATGCGGGCCTCCCCGGTGGCGCAGCAGTTGAGCACTGGGTTGTGAAGCTGCCCGCAGCCTCTGCAGCGCCGGTTCGATCCCCGGCTGCAGTGCGAGGGTCCCACATGGCGCGCAGACCTCTCCTGCCGCCCGCTGCTCCCCTCAGCAGTGTACTTCGGTCCTTCTGCCTGCTCTGCTCCCTGCTCCGGCTCTGGTGAATTCTCTCACCCTCCCGTACTTCTGACTGTACCCAGTGCTTGTATAAATAAATAAATAAATAAATCTTAAAAAAAAAAAAAAATGCATATGCATGTTTCTCACACACAGAAAAGTAAGCATTTAAAAATATAAAACAGAAACATACACAAAAATAGATAAATATAAAGCAGCAGCAAATATTCTATGATTTAGCTAGATGCTTATAGCATCTTTTTGTAACCTTACCTCAGTAAAGAGGTAGCATACGGAAGTTTTCACAGGACTGTTAGGTCAATTACCTTGGAATCTATCAGTCATGGCTGCATTCATAATAAATGCCCTTTTATGGTACATCCAGTTATTCATAAAAAGCAATCTATTGCTAGGTCTATCTACTAGCAACACTTTCCCAGTTGAATCAAGACTTTCTCTTCTTCTATTTCTCTATGAATTAATATCTTTAATAAAGATAACTTTAAAATTTTAAATTCCTATTCTACTGAGCTAAAATCTTTTTTAATCATTTTTTTAAATATTTATTTATTTATGCATACAAGAGCTAGGGTACATGCCAGAGATGTGGGGAGTGAGAGGATTCACCAGAGAGAGTGGGGAACAGAACAGGCAGACTGGCTGAAATACACTGCTGAGGATAGCAGTGGGTGAGACAGGAGAGGTCCGCTGCGCCATGTGGGTTGCTCCCTGGCCGGCTGGGCATCCAATTCATGCTGCAGAGGCTGCAGATTGCTTCACAGTGCATTGCTTAACCCCTTGAGCTAAAATCTTTTCATTATCAAACTAATCAAGTTGCAAGAAAATGTCCAAATGATCAACAAAACAGTAAGCACACACGTATAGCTAGTATAACAAAATGAACATTCATGCCCATCCCTTATTCTTCATTTCACTTAATTAAGAGATTATTTAATTCAATGCTCAAATTGTATTATAGTCTCAACAAAGCTAAATGGCTTGTTTATCACTTGAAAATGGTAGACAAATTATACCTAGAACTCAGGTCCACTGACTCTCTCAGGCAGATGGTTGCCATTAAGGCATTACCATTTCCTAATTAGCTAAGCCCATGTCTTTTAGAGCTATTACTCTCCCAACACCGATGTACTAAATCCATTTCCAATTCCTGTCCGTTATTTTCCTAGCGTATTTCCTATACTACATATCTAGAGCTTGGCACAGCCTTCTCCTAGTTAAGAGACTCAGCTTCTCTTCAAAGCATTTCACACAATCTCCTGAAAGCTATGGTTAGCACAAACGCCAATTGTCAGCAGAAATTTACCTTGTAACACTCCTTTCCCCAAAACACTCAATATTTACATAACACTTACCTAAGTAATCCCTGTGACCAATTCCGAAGTAACCATTTAAGTTTACAGACAGGGAAAACATAATGAACTAAAAGACAAAATGGTCTTCATGTAACTTCTTCCCACTGGTAAATTTAATTGTCTAGAGAATGAGACTAAATTTATCCCCCAAGGGCAGCCTTTCCAATATTTGAAGAAGACTTCCATTTTAGTGTATGGTGTTTCTGTTAGGGTGAAAAGGATGTCCTAAAGCTAATTCCATACAGGCTTTGTGGACTCCACCCCCCACTCCAGACCAAAGACAAAAGACATTGGGAACTCCAAATCCCATCACCACCAAAGGGAAGGTTGCTGGGACCTGAGGGTGGGGTTAAGTAGCCAGGTTTGGTATAAAGCCAGACACGTGGGCTTTGGAGGGTATCCCCCATTTTGGCCCTCCACCAGCTCGCAGCGTCCGGCCAGCTCTGAGAGTGCCTTTGGATTTCCAGGTGGGAGGATGGGGTAGGATGCATTAAAGACTTTCCCTATTTAATTCTCCCTGAGTTGTACATTTCCTTAATTCCCATTCTCTTGTAAATAAACCGTTTATTAACTTTTTGTGTGTGCCTGTAGTGGAATATTAAGAAGTCCCTTTTAAGTGCGCGGGTGAGGACCCACAGCCAGGCAACCCGTTTTATATCGGGGTTGCCCTGTAACAGTTTGGCACCCAACATGGTTTCCAAGCTTCACCCGTGGTTGACCAGCCCAAAGTACTTTTTCTTGTGTTGGTTACCATAAAGCGCACTAGGTCAATGGTCACTGTAATTTGAAATAAATAAATAAACATAATAACAAAACCCTGGCTTCTTTCTCAGAACATTCTATTGACACCTCTCATCGTAATCCAAACTTTTAATTCTCATTAAACTAACTCTCATTGCCCTTCTATGCTTCAACCAAGTTAACCTATGCTTTTTAGCAAAATAATAGTGTCATTTTTTTTAAAGATTTATTTATTCATGCATACAAGAACCGGGGTAAAGGGCAGATATGCAGGAGAGTGAGAGGATTCACCAGTGACAGAAGGGAACAGAACAGGCAGACTGACTGAAATACACTGCTGAGGGGAGCAGCGGGCGAGACAGGAGAGTTCTGCTGCGCCATGTGGGTCTCTTCAGTTGCCGGCCGGGTTCGAACCTGCGCTGCAGACTGCGGACAACATCACAGAGGTGCACTCAACTGCCTGTGCCACCAGGGGAGGCCCATTAGTGTCATCTTCTTAAGGTCAACTTTTGAGAAACTCAATTTTTCTAGGAAGTCTCCAGCAACTTTCAGCTCTTCCTTTATTGGTTTTATTTAAATGATGCTCTTCTACCTGCCACCTACTTTTGTAAACATTCTTACATCTGCAACTGGAGGCTGTATTCCCCAAAACAGCAACCCATTTCCTCTCACCTTCTATATGCCATTTAATACACTGTCCCCCCTGTCCATCTAAGAACATAGACTGTCCTAACTTATTCCATGCATTTATTTTTCATTTCAACCCAGAATGAAGTTCTGGGTTGAATGTGGCAACACAGCAATACTTCTTAAATAACTATAGCAAAAGCTTTTCCATTTCATAGTACATCAAACTGTCTTAATAGAAATGTGTGGGTATGTTCTTATTATAAGCAAATCTTGCAGCATGCTGATGTACTCAATTCACTAACTGAAGCAATCTAACTCACAAATTCTCAGATTTATAGATTTATTAGTAAGATTTATAGAGCACAGTGCTACTAAGGAACTTAAGGCATTGTACAAAGAATTTCTCAACTTTGTAAAGCTCAATATAACAAATGTAAACAAGAGGTAGTAGAATGAAGAAGGAAACAGAGAAAAGAGGAATGAGACAGTATAAGAATTTGAAGATTGCAATAATGACAATATTTAATCTCAAGTTGTTTAAAAATGCTTTGTTGATTTATATTAAGTAAAGGTACAGGACTTAAATAATACTTTATCACTAGAGCTTCTATAGTTATCTGGAGCCAGAGTATTTGGGTTTAAATCCTAATTCTTGGTGCTATCAATTATTAGCTGAGTCACCTATAGCCTAATAATTTACGTTTTATTTAACAACCTTTAGGTTGTGGTGTCCAAGGTTAAACGTTAACATTACTGCACTTAAAACCCTGTTTTATTTTAAGAGCAATAACTATTTTAACTTTCTTTCTGATCTTAGAATCACCTCACTATATTCTTTTTCTTAGACTCACAAGCATTATTACTTCAGAGATGAAACATGAAACGTATCACATATGTGTATATATATTAACATCTGCAACTCAATTACTAAAAATTTCTACTTTGCTGTTAATAGGAGACCTATTCAAACCAAGACTTTTGACAACAAACAATTCCCTAATTCTGTGTGGACACCTATTGGAAAGTGCCCACTTTCTCTTGTCATGTGAATGTGTTCATTCCATCATTATGGTTTTTATGGAGGATCCATTACATAGGTATGATTTATTAAATCACTGGACACAGGTGATTAACTCAATCATCCTCGGACCCTTCTTCTTCCCAGGTCAATGGATGGGGCTGAAAGCTCCAATTCTCTAAGCACAGGATTGCTACTCTGACAAAGGGCCCATCCCCCAGAGTTACTTCATTAACATAAACTCCAGAAAGGCTGAAAGGGCTTATCATGAATAACAAAAGATGCTCCTCTCACTCCTACTACTTAGAAAAGGACTAGGATTTAAACTCTGTCAGAAACAAGGGATGAGGACCAAACATTTATTTCTTATAGCACAATATCACAGGTGTTGTTCTGATTTCAATGGAAAACACTCAAAAATGAAAAGATCTCCTCACTTTGCCTCCTATTGTTACAGAGCAGCCCCGATATAAGACATCCTTTTCCCCCTAACACTATCATTCATGCTGAAAATGCTGGGAATTGGCTCCAAAGCATTTTATACATTTTCTTTTCCTTCCCTTGTCCTCCAAAATTAGGCCTCAAAATCTGTAGATGAGTCTCCTAATTATGCCTCTTTTTTATTCTCAGCTCTGCTCCAATCCAACTGCTAATTTTCTTTAAAATATCACTTGTTGGGAAGGGGTAATGAGGGTGGATAAACTGGGTAAAAGGGATCCTTGCATGGTGAAGGAGAGAATTGGACTTTTAGAGGTGAACTTAATTTAGTCTACACAGATGTTGATCTATAATGATGCACACCTGAAACATGTCATAACACAATAGTATTTCAGTGGAAAAAAAATGAAATCTGAAAGAAGAGTACATTAAAAACATTAAGTTTCAAATAAAGTGACCCAAAAACCAAAGTCTTCTATTATTCTCATTCTCTTTAAAACTGTATTTTAACTTTAATGATTACAATTAAAAAACAAACTTACGCCCTTTAAAAAAAGCACTTGTTAAAATGCATTCTGTTGCTTTGGTGGTTTCCTACTGGCAGTGAAGTCAAACTTCAGAGCATAGAATTTAAAGCTCATCACATCTAACTCCATATTTCCTATTTCATTACCATAAATATAAACTTTTCTGTCTCCTCTGCCTTTTCTGCCCTTGAAAAATGAGCATCAATGTTTGCTCAAACTTTAAAATCCCTCACATAATAGCACACATTTATTTTCTTCCAAAGTTATATCAATGCTATACTTCTCTATTTTGGTTGCATACAAATAATCTTTTCCCCAAAATAATTTTAATTCATATGAAGAAAAGGGGCATGATACCTCATAGTTCAGAAATTGACTAATGATAGGGCAAAAGTTGATAAATGCTTGCTAACTGAATTCACTTCTCCTAAAAAGTCCACCATCATCTTCTTGTTAGAAGGGACAACTGTGATGACTGTCCTGATATCACTGAATCAGCTGGTACTTCAGAAGAAGCTTAATAAGAAGCCTCATAAGAAATAGTGCATTATTATTACCCTTCATTATATATTGAATCTTTCTACTGTTTGGCTCCAAAAGTGTAATCAAAAGGCATTAAATTGATATTGCCAGTTAATTTTAATTAACAATTTTATAAGAAAAGTAGTCACCATGCTAAAAGCTGAATTTGAAAAGTTACGATATTCAAATTTTAAATTCCTCAAAATGAGTGATTTCTTATATGCTCAAGTACGACTATAGATTTAAAAATAGTTCATAAGTTTAGCAAGATTTGTTGGATTAATTTTATAACTATGAACTTTTTAGGTACATCAAGCCTAAACTAGAGGATTTTCATCCAAAATACTTAAACAAGTCACTTAGAAACAAATAGATGGAAAAACCAAACCTAATTAAAGATAAATACAAAGTGTAACTTGGTAAGAACAAATTTCCACCAATTTGTTCTCTGGATACTGCTTTCTCTCTAGGAAATCTTTTCAGCCTGAGGGTCCAAGTGCCAAATAACCTAAATCACAGTTCCTGAGAAACTGACATTGGAAGAATTTCTTTCTGCAAATAAATTACCGAACAAGAGTGCAGGAGCATTTGTTTTCTACAAAACCCACTTTAAATTATTACAAAGATACAAATGTGGCTATGTGAATAATTCCTTTGGTCACTTCAAGGCCAAAATACATTTGGTTTACTGAAAAGGGCTTCCCAAACATTAAAAAATATCGTTCACTCTGCTCGAGTGATCATAAGAATCCTATAATATGTCCTGAGAATTGAAGTTTCATCACCCACCTTTCAAAAATTTGAAATCAACTAGTTAAATGAAACTTGTCACACACTTTATATCACTTGAGCATTTTATTTCTTTTGCACACATCTAGAAGTAATTGAATTTCAGTGGGAAGTGACTACTTGTTTAAACAAACAATTTTTCTTGCAAGCATTTCTATCTAAGGGAGTTCGGCTCTGTAAATCTATTCTATGCTTTTTGAACCTATACATTCTAACAGGTTTAATTCAATATCTTGCTGTGAATTTTAGACAACACTGTGCTGCATTCAAGATGCAATTTCTGAGACCAAGGTTATTCTTCATTTAACAGAATATTGTGATACTAACTCAATCATTTTATAAAACACAATCATTTTATAAAACACAAACTCACAAACCTATGTTTCTGATGATGAATATTTCCTTTTTTGCTATGATGAAAAGAATAACACACAAAGATAAAGCAAAATTAGAATTCCCCTCTCATTCTGGTTATGAATATAAAGGGGAATGAATATGATTCATCTGCAAAGAATTTCCCAAGGCATCAATAAAAGATAAAGAGAAAAAGTTGAAGAGTTAAGATGAGCTGCAACCGTATTTTCATTCTTACTTTAGAAACTAAAGGAAATACAATTGCTTCAGAAAAACAAGTTAAGCAAAGTAGCTAAAGACCATCTCAAGAGAGTGTAAAATATATTCACCCATTCATTCATTTTCACATAATTATATAATAGCTTTCTGGCAGATAGTAATTTTCTTGATGGTTCTCTATTCTGCCCCCAATGCATTTTAGAATTCCTGCTAAGGCATGTGCATGATGCTGCAAACATTTCCCCTATAATCCTCCTATCTATGTCTTCAACGGACTGCCTTCTCCTCAAACTCATAAATGTGAGCATATCAAGAGGCAGCATATATAAGCTTTGTGATTCCTGCACAGGTTCTTTAATCTTTGTAACTCATGTTTCTTCATCTGTAGAACAATAAAAATAATACATACATTGGGGGGTTGTTGTGGAATGTAAAATACCTTTGGCACACAGTAGCAATTTAATAGATGCTGGCTATTACTATTACACCTTAAAAGTTAGCCCTTGAACCTATGTTCTAAGAATTTACAGCCCAATTTAAGAACTATAGAAGACTTAAAATTCACAATCATGTAATCAACTCACATTAAATAAGAGGAAACTAAAGCTGACCAAGGTGAAGTGATTTATAGGAAGTGAAAAGGCTTCTTAGTGGCAATGGTGAGCCTCAAAACCAGCTCTCCACACTCAACACTAGTGCTGACTACTTCCTCACTATTCTCTCTCCAGAAACTTTATCTAGCCAGTTTCCTTATGGGAAAGCAAATGTCTAACTCTAGCCTAACCTCTATCCTGCAAGCCAAGCAATATGCCAACCAGTCCATCAACTCATTATATACATTGCATATTATATTTCTCAAACTTTCTATATTCCAATCTTCTCCAAAATTCTGTAGTTCTTTCAATAATGTGATATAGGTTCAGAGTCACACAGGTTCAAAGAGGTGAGAAGAATTAAAATAGAAGGAAATAATATTTCCTCTGTACCTACTATGCAAAAGGTGAACTCAGCCAGGTTATTCACCTGGATTATTTACTGTACCTGTGAAAGAGGGCTGTATCATTAGAAAAATGAGGAAACCAAGCTTTCAAAATAATCTGTCTCATGTTCTCTAAAAACTTGTAGCCAGAATTGAACACAAGTCCCTCAGACATAACCCATTTAGACATTATCTACGCATCAACAAATTGGTCCATGTGTCATTGTGTACTTTTTTGTAATTAAAAAAAAATGGATTGTCATATATAATTCTTAACTTGACAATAACTATATTTCTGTGGCAATTTTAGCGAATCTTGTTCATTAGCAACAAAGTTTATAAATAATTTGATATATGAAAATAGTCAAGAAACTCACTTTCTCTTGATTAGTAAGATAATATCTGAACTTCCACACAAGATCCTGTTCTTCATATGTAAGCTGTTTGGTTGGTGGATAACTCACAATAATCTACAACAAAGAAGACAGAGTTATTCTTGTCAAATGTATTCTTCTTCTGTATTTCCATTTCATTTAAATTTTTTTATTTCAAAATTTCAATAATAGTACTATTCGGTTGTCAGAAATGTCACAACATATTTTTTAATTTTCAAGCAAACTGCATTATGACTTTTCTGACAACCCAATATTATAGACACAAGACCAACATATACTCAACAAAGTGATACTTAAATTTGTTGTATTTATCAGTCTAAAAAAACATTAAAGTGTGAAAGAAAAGGAAAACAATGAAGATGTCACATTACATATAAGAGTATATACCAAGTCTTCACTTAACATAGTCAAAAGTTTCTGGGATACTGCAACTTTGTGCGAAACACCACATAATGAAAGCAAGTCCTCCAATTAAATCATTTTGTTCAATGTCACAGGATTCTGTGTTTTCTCAACATTATAAGGAAGCCATACTGAACAACAATACTACCCCTGGGCTTGCTGTATAACTACAGAGCTCACTCAGTTCAACTAAAAACAAAATAAACCAAAATAAAAAAGCTCCCTCTTCCTCAAAAAAAAAAAAAAAAAGGAAAATCAATAAACTTTCCCTTATCAATCAATGCACACAACAATACATGTGTATATACCAAGCTCTCTCTTGGGAAGTATACCCTTAAGGCTAGTTTCCAAGAATGATATATCATAAGCGGTATGTATTTTTGCAGCTGTTTCCAGGGCTAATTTATTTACTGAGAACTAAAATATGATTCTAAAACCACACAAATCTAAAACTGTTGAAATTACATAAGGCTCACTAACCTGGGAAAAATTTGCATCACGATCACTTATAAATGAAATGGTATCACATCAGCTATACCCAAAATACCTATTTATTTATATTAACATTTTACAAAGTTTCTTACATTAAGTTGATCCCTTGTGGCAGCATTAGGTTTGAGATCGTGGTCAGAAGGTCCACTTCTTAAACTCCGGGCAAGTTTGTGATGTTTGCTTTCAACTAAATTCTCCTATAAATCATTTTAAAATATTAATCATGATGTAAAAGCCAGTTTCAATAGCCAGGTAGAAATAAGAAAACAATTATTAAGACCGCTTAACACTTAGGATACTTTAGTTTGTTTTCATTATAACTTCAGTATCCTAAATATCTTTTTATGATAAATCCTTATTTTGCAACAAAACTGGTCTCTATAAGACTTTCAACCATTAAATTATTAATAATTGAATCTTTGAAAATGTGTTTTGTAAGTGAAGACCAATGAGATGACGGGGTGTTCTTCTGAGCAGAAGAGAAGGCAATAAGCATATCTACTACTTATTTTGTACCTTCTCTATGAGGAAAATGATTTTCTCCCAGGCAGGAACCAGACACCCCTCTTTTACCAATATTTGACTTGCTGTCATTAATTGAATGAAATACAGGGCCTTCTGACCTTATTTTTAGGTATTAATATTTCTTGTAAAAATTCAATCTAATCCTGATGTAAGATAACTGGAGTGTATTTATGAATCACTTTTACTTAGATAACTAAGCTAGCTATAATTTTTTTTAAAGAAAATACATGCTATGGATTGGATCTCAGTCATCACTGGAGAAAAGCATTTTCATAAGTTTTCAAAACTCACCATAGACATCTGAGGGTCAGGAACTTTCACTATCTCGAAACTTGTTAAAATTGGAGATGACTCATCACCATCCTGGATTGCAATAATAAATTAAAAATTAAATATATGAAATTGAATCACATGGTAAAAAACAATACATGAAAACGTGTACTCCAATGTATTTTGATTTAATGAACACCATGTCTCCACTTAAAGTACATATACATTTTTTACCATTTGTTGCTGATCAAATGTTTTAAGAACTAAATCTAACAATAAAATCTGCAGAGTCTTTAGATATATAGAATCTGGAAATTAGATTGCTTTCTTTCAGCCTTGTCTTTTAACTTTGTTCATAATTACAGTGGGTCAAAAGTAGAAAGTTTTTAATTTTCCAACTTAAAAAAGAAAATACACAGCATAATTAAAGCATTTGCAAAACATTTTCAAAAACTTACTAAGTGTATATTGGTAACTTTTCAAACTACCACAACTGAGTTCCAGTCAGAGAAGTGGAGTTTTAAGTGTGGCATTAAGGTTACTCAAATTTATACATAGCTAGAGAGTAAGCAGCTTTGCTTCTCAGACACCTATTCAATAACACAGCAAATCTGAATAACAAGAATTAATCAATCAATTCTTAAGACATAAAGCTGTCTTATATTGTTGCATTATCATTTCTGAAGAATATTGGCTTTTAGTTCTATCCAATTCAGACAAGAAAGGTAAATTCAGCATAATAAATGTCATTCAATATATCCTGGAAAAAGCTAAACTAACTGGAACCAGAATTTATTTCCTCACAATTGTATACCAAGCATCAAGTTTTTCTGTCAATTTTCAAATGCCAGTATATTTCCAATTTTAGATATATGTAACAAAATCAGGAGAGACTGAAAGAGGGGAAGTATTGTGATTTTACTTTAGTTTAGTAATTGAGTCTTACAGAAAACCACAAATTCCCACAGCCGTTGTTTAACAGGCCAGTTCTCAGTCACAACGCCAGAAAACACATTAATCAGCCCAACTGTGACAAGTAATCTTCACTAAGGCTATCTGTCACAAAAGACAGGTGACAAGAAAGTCTATTTCCATTAGATTCAATACACTGGCCCAGCAATCTTTACACTAAGTGGAAATATGACAAGGTAGGTAGACAGGCATTAATTTATGGGCAATTTTCAAGAAGCCGTAGAAAGGGGTCAAGAACCTTCTTAAAAAAACTTGAAATTTTTCTAATTTCTCTTCTGCTATTATTTCATCTATTATCAAAGCTGTCTTTCAAAAGATCTCTCACATCTCCGCTGTTCAAAAGTACCATCTCCGTTAACATGTTTTCACAATATAAACTCCAGATGAACAGGAAATATTGTTTTTAATGAAATAACATGAAGTATAAAATGTGATTTCATTAAAATGTATACATGACAAAACAATTTTACTTGCCTACATTTCCCTTTCTTTTGAAGGTAATTTTTTTAATAAACTAATAACAATGTTAAATAGTCTATCTTCCTATCTTCATTTTTCCTCAGGGAGTATAATTTATAAAAACAAAAGACTGAAGCAAGTTAACTCTTCCTAACCTTATACAATAGGGAAGGAAAACAAGTTAAAAGGAAAAATTACGATTAACTTGAAAATACCATAAAAATGATCATAAATGAACTATACCCAATAAACCTCCATTATGAAAACATCTTTCAAATAGTAATTTAGTTATAAAAATATATAAAATTTTTAAAAACCACTTGACAGTTTTAACAATAACACCAAAGCGTAAATGTAATTTAAAAATACTGCTTCTAATAAACAAATATACTGCATATAAGCTTATCTATATACTAGAAGAAATATTATTTTATTATACCATGCATCAAAAGTCTGTTTTCAATTGCCCTAATTTAAGCATTTTCTACTTCCACAATAATAGAAAGTTGATGTAGTTTTAAACTATGCATACATTTCTGTAATATCTTTTAAAAAGCCTTCAACAAACATTTAAGGCACAGATATTTTTCAAGTAGCACATTTTAAACAATGAACTATATTTTTTTGCATAATGAGCTGCACAAAGCAAATACAAATTAAATACTTGTTATTACTCAGCCTAACAATACCATGGTTTTCTTAATTCTGCATAATTATGAACTTCTTAAATAAGCATACTCATGACTTATGGTAGGGTAACTTTTACAATTCCAACACATTATATACTTTATATATGTATAAATTTCATATATCATATAGATATATGATACACACTTAATCTCAAAGAACAACCATAGCCCTAACTTTCAGTATCTTACACTAAAAAAAAATGGGATTTCCTTTTATTTTTCAAATGAACACTAATTGTTATTAAAACTATAACTTTAATGTCTTACTTGCCAATTCTGAGAACAATTAATCAAAAAGTTTTAAATCCCTTACATATTTATTGAATTCTGTAACCCAGAACTGCATTACATGAATGATCGACTTTCGTAATCTTGTAGTCGCTATGTGATTTGATTTGTGTATACATAAACAGCTGCTGCTGACAGCTGTCTGCTGCTATCCTACAACCAAATAATTCATCTCAGCAGGAAAAACAGTAATTTTTCCCCTCCCCTCTACTTTAGAGACAATAAACAGTTCCAAAGCAAATACCTTTTCGTAATAAACAATACCATATTCCTTATCATCACACTTGACACATCGAAACTCAACCATCAAGTACATGAAATTAGAACTTCGTTTTTCACTCTAAAAAAAGAAAAAGTTTTATTTTATAAATAATCATCTTCAATGTTCTCTTAAAAGAGCAACTGCAATTTAAAATGTAATAAATTTTCATTTCATTATTACAAATGCACTGTTTATATAGCACTATCATATTATTATATACAGCACTATTGTTTTATCTAGTCCTGTCCAATATTCATTTATAACTCTCTCCTTAAATATAGTAACATTTCTGTATATTCAGTAGTTTGGATTTTAGTATATAAAATCTTGAAGGTATTTGGATACATCTACATGACAACCACTACATTTCAAAAAAGATGTTTTGTACTTCTAACAATTTTAAGCAAAGAACAATTCACTGTATACCATATGATTATAAGAATTAATATAAGTATCCAAAAATCAAAAGTAAAGCAATGCATGTAACTAAGAACAAAGGCAAACTGAGCTTAACAGATAAAACTTTTACAAGTTTTTCACAATTCATAAATGATTGTAAGGAAACCTGCAGTCATTTGTAAATTTTTATCAATACAGTTTAAGTATATTGGAGACAAGTTCCTTCTCCAAAACAAAAAGTGCTGATTCTGTTAAATAATGAATCAAAAATAAAATGAAGCCTAAATGAGCGATTAATTTTGACCCAAATAATTTTCAAAAAAGCTTTAAATCTGTATGTAAAAAAAATCATAAAAGCTTAAAGAGGTCATTTAAATTGTTAAGCTTGTGAAGCATAATATAGTAATGGTAATGGTAACCTATCTATTAAAAGAGTGGCAGTGGGAGGTTGAGAAAGGCTAAACATAATAAGCTCTAACATTATACATGCTACACCCAAGAGTAACTAAGTTGAAAAGTACAAAAATATAAGTAAGCATTCTGATTAACTATTTTTGGCATATGATTATAAAGAATTAAAAACAAACTTTACTCACAGTGATAGATATAAGAATGTATTATGAATAAATTTGGAAAAGATGCTCAGTAGTCATACCGAATATAAATGTTGCTAAACACCACGATATTTTTATATGACAATTCTAGAATCTAACTCTACAATTGTCAATCATGAAATTAAAAATTCCTCTCTCTTTCTATATGCTGAAAACTTCAGAGAATATAAATTAAGTCAGTCGTGCCCTGTGGTGGTCACTATGGCTAAGTGTATACATAATTGATATCTTTTTTATAATGCTTTTAACTTTTTTTAATTATGCATACAAAAGCGGGGGTGTAGGCCAGAGTATGGGGTTGGGGGGGAAAAGGGTGGGGGTGGTGGTGAGAGGATTCACCAGAGCCAGAGTGGGGAGCAGAACAGGCATATCCACTGAAATACACTGCTGAGGGGAGTAGCAGGCAAGACAGAAGAGGTCTGCTATACCATGTGGGTTAGCTCCAGGGCTGGGGATGGAACTCATGCTGCAGTGGCTGGTGACAACTTGATAAAGCTGAGACTTTAACCCCTGAGCTACCAGGGAGGCCCTACACACAAGTGATTTTTCTCTCATCTTAATGTGGTTAGTAGTTATTTCTGTTCTCTAAGCACTGAATTTAAGCCAAACATGTAGCAGACATAGAATTTCAATGCAAATATAGGGAAAAAAATATTTTTCTTCAAATGCTTTGAAAGAGGTTCACTCAAGCCATCTTTTAATTAAACATATTCTGGACCAATGCACTAAATCAAGAAATAAATTACTTGGGCCATGCAATGTTATTAAAGGTGCAGAGTTCTACAGTATATATATATATGACAAATTGTATTTTAATTGGGGAGAGCACTTGCTAAAGTTGATAAAAGGTAACTGAAATGAAGAGGAAACATTGTGTTGATAGATTTATCCACTAATAACTTGAACTTTCATATGAGCAAGTTCATATGGAAAGAAAGAAAACATACAAGTGAGGTGTCAAGTTTACTCAGGTTTGACTTTCATGATATTTAGTACATTTATGCAATAAATAATTCTCAAGAAAATTTTTGATTTAGAAATCTAGAGAAAATATTTGGAAGTACAAAAAAAAGGATACAACCCACCTCATTTATCATTTCTATTTCTCTAAAGGTCAATCTGTCTAGCCAATCAACTTTTACCATGTGTCCTTGTCGATGAGCTTTGGTGAGCTGCAGAACAAATAGAGAAAATTTTAATAGATCTCACAGAAAGTAGAACAGAGGATGATAATATTCACTCCTTTTTAACATATTACCAAAGTACTGGTTAATGCCATTGGTAATAAAAATGGAATTAAAGGTAAACACATTGGAAAAAATAAAACTTTTTGTTAGAAGATGACAGGATTATCTATGTCGAAAATATGAATGGACCAAAAAAAAAAAAATTCTGGAAATAATATTGTAAAATTGTACTGCAGAATAAAGGTAACATGCGAAGTCAAATACTTTTCTATATACCAACAATAAACAAGTAAAATTTGAAATTGAAAAGTATAATTTACATTAGTATCCCCAAAATTAAATTGCTATAAGTCTAACAGAATACATACAAGATCTGTAAGAGGTAAACTACAAAGCTCTGATGATCAAAAAAATAAATAAATGGATAAGAAGATTCAATATTGTTAAGAGTCCATTCTTCCCTATTTGATCTAGATTCAATTCAACCAAAACCAAATCCCAGCAAGTCATTTTGTAGCTATCCACAAACTGAGTCTAAAGTTCATAAGAAGAAGCAAAAGACTCGTAGTAGTCAACACAGTATTAAAGGAAAAGAACACAACTGGAAGACTGACACTACCCAACTTCAAAGCTTATTATAAAGTTATAGTTATTGATATTAGTGTGGTGATGAAGGAATAAACAAATAGATCAATGGAATAGAACAGAGTCTAAAATCTCTTTAGACTCTAGAATAGAGTTTAAAGTCTCATAATTCCTGCCAAACTGGAAAGTTTACAGGCAAAAGGTCCCCTTAACCATTTGTCCTATTTATCTATTACTTCATAACAAACCACCTCAAACTACAGCGCCTCAAAACAATATTCAGTTTATTCTTTCTCATGATTCTTAGAAAAGTCAAGAAGTCATCTTCTTGAGGGAAATTTGGAATTTATTTAGTCTAACATTATCTCAAGAAACTATGGAGTCATTTGATGGCTGAGACTGGAATGTCCAAACTAGCTTCATTCACATTTCTAAAGCATTTGTGAAAAAGGGTAGGCTTAGCTGAGATACTAGGGTGGTGGGATTTTCGCTTTCTACACGTTTTCTCAATATTACTCCCTCTTCCAGTAACATATCAACATAGCCATTTCAACAGGGTAGCTGGACTTTTACATAGTAGCTCATAATTCCTCAGAATGCAAAAATAGAAGCTGCCAACCACCTTAATACAGCCTAGATGAAGCACAGTATCAGTTGCATTGTATTGATTAAAATGAGTGGCAGGACAAGTACAGAATCCAATGCATATCAGGAGGAAAGTATCATTACAGGTTGTCCTTGGAGACCAGCTAACAAACCACTTAACAGAAAGTCCAAGAATACAAACAATTTATTCTTTTTAAAAAAATTTTTTATTTATTTATGCATAGAAGAATTGGGGTGTATGCCAGAGATGCAGGGAGGTGAGAGGTTTCATCAGGGACAGAGTGGAGAGCAGAACAGGTAGATCTAGTGAAACACACTGCTGAGGGGAGCAGCGGGAGAGACAGGAGAGGTCTGCTGTGCCATGTGGGTCAGCTCCTTGGGGGAAGGGGAGTGATTCTGATCTCTTCGAACTGTTGTGGCTGGTGACAACTTGACAGCACAGACACTTTAACCCCGGCACCATCAGGGAGGCCCAACAATCAATTTATTCTTCAATGCAGTACAGCAAGGGGAGAAAATATGGAAATGGCAACGTCAGCTCTTGGTTACACTTTAGACAGCGGGGAAGTCTAGAATTAGCTATCACAACTGGTAAATGTCTTCCTCTCCACCCAAATAATCTTCTGCAACTCTCTGTACAACATACTACACAGCCCAGTTATTCTTTCCAGATCCTTAAACCATTTAATTTTAAGACTCATTGCATACAAAATAATATTGGATGAAATCTTATAAAACTATATCACTATGCAAATTATAAACAGCTATTATAATTGGCCCATAATATGTCACTTCACTTCATCTTTTATAGATGTTGGCAACAGTACAGACAGACTTTAACAATTTACAGTCAAACAAAATGAAATCTCTTAGGCAGAGGCTGTCATTATGTTTGTGAGCTTTATGTGTCCAGGTTGTAAAGCAAGGCCAGGTCAGTACCCTCCATGGTGGAGGGTAGGTAAAGGGTAGGAAAATATATACATATACATTGGAATCAGCTTTCCTAATATTGCTCATGATGAATAGTCTTGCTTAGAATAGAGAGTACACTTGAAGCATAAATGGGAAAAGAAAGATTGAGAAGGACTGAAAAGCAATGTTTATCTATTTTTTTAAAGCTACCCAGAAATCTGCAGAGACATAAAGGGGTAATGAGACAGAAAGATTCAAAAAGTGCCTCAAGAGAAGTGACTGAAGCTTTTCAAATTTTTCTTGACCATTTTCTTCCATATTCTTATATTTACCTTATTGTCACAAAGCATATCAAGTAAAGCATTTAACAAACAATACCATAAACATGTCCAAATTCATAGATATGAAAGGTAAATTAGTTTGTTAATAAAAAATATTATTTCTTAAGGGGTAAATAACAAGCTGTGATAACAAGGAGATACACAGACAGAATATAACTGGTATAAAAAGGAACACAAAGATGTTTCCCAACTTTGATTCTGACTTTAAGCATCTGTATATGTCTGATAACTTGGAAATAAAGTATATGAGGAAATCAAATAAGCCTTCTAAACACAACTCCAATGTACAAACTTCACTATTTTCACAGCAAAGGAAAATTTAAAGTGGATAATGGCTTGCTAACAGTACAGTATTGCCAACATTTTGAATGTCAACCACAGAGACTGTTGAAATGAATTATGCATATCTGCACTATACAAGACCGTGTGTTCTTTTTTTTTTTTAATTTTTTTTTTTTTTATAGAGGCATGCTTTATTTATTTATTTGTTTGTTTGTTTTGTTTATACATGCACTGGGTACAGTCAGAAGCGCGGGAGGGTGAGAGAATTCACCAGAGCCAGAGCGGGGAGCAGAGCAGGCAGAAGGACCGAAGTACACTGCTGAGGGGAGCAGCGGGCGGCAGGAGAGGTCTGCGCGCCATGTGGGACCCTCCTCCAGTGGCCGGGGAGCAGCCGGGGATCGAACCGGCGCCACAGAGGCTGCGGGCAGCTTCGCAACCCAGCGCTCAACCGCTGCGCCACCGGGGAGGCCCAAGACCGTGTGTTCTTTACAAATCATTTAGCAGAGGTATCTTAACTGCTAGCCAGCATTAAGTATAAAAGCGGGATTTAATTAAACACACACAAATTCAACAGGATCCCAATTTAAAAACAAATACACATTCATACATAATAAATATTTATTTACTATAAGCATATCAAATAAAATGTTATGATGTCTACTTGTGGGAAGAGAGTTAAAGGTGATTTTTTTTTTTAAGATTTATTTATTTATGCATACAAGAACTGGGGTACAGGCAAGAGGTACAGGGGTAAGAGGATTCACCTGAGACAGAATGTGGAGCAGAAAAGGCAGACTGACTGAAGTATACTGCGGGGCTGAGGCAGGAGAGGTCTGCTGGGCCATGTGGGTCAGGAACCTGGTCAAGGATCAAGATCATGCTGCAATGGCTGCTGATAGATTCATAGTGCTGAGACTTAACCCCTGTGCCACCAGAGAGACCCTTAAAGGTGATTTTTGTATTTTTTGTATTTTAATAATCTTCTATCACTGTAGTGGCTGCATATTATCTTTGTAGTTTAAAAAAAGTTATTTAAAAACTAAAGTTATTTTAAAAACAAGTAGTGGTTTTCTTAACAGATTTCCAAAGAAGTTGGTAGTAAACAATGTTATTTTCATTGATAATAAAAGCTCAAAAAATAAAGACCTATCAGATTAATTTACCATGACCATCTGAAATGAAAACCAGGTATTAACAAAAATTATCCTCCCTGAAATTATTTCTTCCAAGCACCTTCCAACAAGGCCCAACAAAAGAACCAAAAACTAAATAATATTATCATTTCTCAATATGTAGCTAATAAAGACTCATATATGGAAATACATAGGCTATCAAACCTTACTCATATTAAGAAACTTTTAGAAAAGAGTTACAGAAAAATAAATTTTCAAAAAAAAAAAAAAACTGTTATACAATAGGTATTGCTTGGGGCAGACACAGATAAGCTTTCATTGGGAATCTTAAGAGGAAAAAATTATAATTTTTTTCGCTTTTCTGTCACTTAAAAAAATAAAATAAAAAATAAAGAACCAATCTGTACTGCTGCCGAAAAGAGAAAACTTTCAGATTCATGAAATGTACATGAATGTTCAAAATTTCTCTACACACATTATAACATTATTGGAAAAAAAAAACCTGGAACTACCACATACAAGATTATCTTGTTCCTCTAAACCCCTTTAAGTAAAAGGCTGTACGTTAACTCACCTGCAACACACGTTCTTGAACCTAGACTAGAATTGAGATAAGCTAATAAATATTCATTGGGCAGAGTATCATTATTGGTCAGCTAATATATTTACATGATGCACTATGGCTCATTCAGATTTCTATTAGACAATTCTTTAATAAACATAAAACAATGGGTTCTATTCTTTATCAGATCAAACACAAGCTATGCATCAATACACAATTTACACTTGAACTACTGAGATTTTAAAAGCAGTTGATTGTATATTAATGAATTTGCATACACCTATGTATTTAATTTTTAGGAAGCACAAGAATTTCTTCTATCTTCCTGATTAATGAAATCTTAGCCACAAATCTTCAATTTTATGTTGAAACTTTACTTGTAAATCTTTTGGGAAGAATGGTATTTGCCTCATAAAAATTTCATTTGGTTAAACTCAGAGATTAATCTAGTCTTAAAAGCTTGTTACTTTCTATTTTCCTGGCAGAAACCACAGCTATAAAGACAGACAATAGATTTACAGACCATAAATCAATATTCTTTTAGGGCTCGTTCTTATACTGGCA